AAAATCATAACACAGTGAACAAAAGGAAGAGTATATGGCTAAGAGGGAGATGTCAAAAAAAGACTAAAAAGGTAAAAAAGCATTGAAGTAGTGATTTAAAGGGCTGACATGTTGTTGCATTAAGGCTGTAAAGTGTCCTTTGTGTGGGGATAGACTGACTGGGCGCCATCATTTAACGTTAGAGGCCTATAGGCGCTGTCAGGAGCCGGGAGAAAGAGCTTTAAAATGAGGAAACACGACGCCTTGTTGCAGCAATACACAGGTGATAAGTGGGGGAATTCACACAGAAGAAGTCATTTGTATTTTCGACTTATTTCACGGTGAAATGCGTTGATTTTAGCCGACAGAAACTTCCGAGTGACTATCCGGGACCAGGCAGTGCTGCGCATCCCGACCATGGATAAAGAGAACTGGATACACCGTTCATTCCTATGGGAGCTTCCTAGTGGCGCATGAAGCACAGTGTGGAGCGACTGTAGACTCAGAAAGTACCCGTATGTAGGCCCACGGAGCATGCGCAGTTGAGTTTTTCTTCTGCTCTTGTCTCAGTCAAATTAATGGAGAGAGAAGTTAACTCTACATTCAGCTTTTAGATCATTTCACAACTTTTAAACCCTAATGATTTAAATAAGGGATATACAAGTGTTCGTGCTGGGTAGTTTATTTACATTAAAACAAATATATACGCTGATTTACAGACCTCTCTTTCCCAATGTAAGTCAACAGCTACCTTGCACATCTGTCATTTATATACTGTCCTATGTTTCTGCTCCTGTAGTATAAGTCTATATTGCTGATGCTGCAGTATTTTGCACTTTTATGGAACATTTTAATGTATCAAGAATATTGTATATTGTGTATGACTTCTGATATAAGTATTTTCTATTGTAGATGTGCTTATTGTTTTTATTTTATAATTGTTATACTTAATTCCACCTGCCTGAACACACTGCTGCTTTGTGAATTGATCTATCTTTCAATGTAAGTCAATGGGAAAAAGTATTTTTGGGCCAAAAGACGTCACGGGAGTTGTAGTACCACCGTTCGGCCACTACGTCATTTCAAAATCGGCTTCAACGGCCGGCGCACTTCCTGGCGGCTTGATTCCTGACCATGACGAACATCACGGAAACCGTTAAATCCGCTTAAATAACAGTGCAAATACCCATCTACCCAGTTCATATGACAGTTAATGAACACATGCAATGATAATAGTCAGAGTAACTAAGGGTTTTCACTGAGTTTTGAGCTAAATCAGGCCTTGATTTCACAGAAGAACGTGAAGGCCAGCTGGTAAAGATCACGTTCTGATTTAAAAACACAAACGGTTGGAATAACAACAAAATGGCAGGCATAAAACAAGCACGGTACTTACTGGGATATGCTTACTCATTGAAGATTGTAGCTTAATCATACAGCCGGTCCTCAGAAAAAGGTAAAAAATTGAAACGGTTCTCCACCATACAGTCCGGTGCTGTTTCTCCGAGCGGAGTCGAAGTCTCCTGGTCCGACGGTACCGTCAGGATGGAGAGAGAACAGTACCACTTCCTGTCAGAACTTTCAAAATAACATGAGAAAAGTGACGCTTAAACACTTGTGTCCGGCACATAGACTGTGTAATTATTAAGTAGGGCTACACTTATTAAAACATATACTGTTACTGGTATTGTTTGTTGTCCACCTGGATGTGTATTTTTGTAAATTGTAAATGTATCTTATTATTTGATTATTTTATGCATGACTCTTAATTAATATGTTGCTGTTTTTGGCTCTTTTTCTGTAAAAATGTAAATGTCCCCCCTGTGAGACCAATAAAGGTATGCTGACTACTGATGTACTCAAGAACAGCAATTAAGTACAATTTTGAGGTGCTTTTGCATTACTTGAGTATTTTCATTTTAGGCTGAAGCGCCAGAGAAAAACCAAGGGCAAACATTGAAGCCTACTCCACTATAGCCTATGTGTTTGATCATTTAAGATACTTTACAGAATGTGAAATATTCAGGTTCAGGTCTGCAACCTCTCGCAAGGTGTTTTGTTTCAATGAAGACACACCTTAAGCTTTATTTTGAAGACAAACCCCAAAATAACTTCCGGTCCCTCCTGCAGTGCATCCTTTCCAGCTTGACTTGGCCCTTTAAAACCCCACCCTGAAAAATTTGAGGTGTTCTGTCCAGACATCTCTCCATGCTGCTGGTCAGCTGGTGCTGCCGAGGCCTCGCGCCACTCTCACCCCCTGGAAACACACGTGGACCGCAGAGAAAACGTGCAGAATCTTCATAAAATGACCTCATGTAATCAAAATGGACTCTTTCTAACAAAGACAATATGATCATTAATTGTTGTTGACATGACACTCATTGTTACTAAACCAATAGCAGGTGCTACCAAACGGTTGAAATGTCATTTAGTGATAAAGGTCATGATAAATGTACTAAAATAAATAAAAACATGTAAACATTCACTGGAGCTAATATAATAAATGTAATTAAATTCCTTGATATATTTAAAAAACAATTATTAGAGTTTCCACAATTTCTGTGTGAAGTAAGCTTCTGAATAGCAATTTGATAATTTGACCATTGACTTCTATACTGTTTGGTAGAAGCATATTATTTAGCCAAGGTCATACACATGTAATTGCTTTATTTAAATGCTTTTATAATACAGACTTTAATGGGTTTAGGCCATACAGTCTTTGGTTTAACTAGGCTTTTTTAATTATTGGAGTTATTGGACAAATACAGGAGACACAAATGATAAAGTGTGTTATCTTTTCACAGTTTATTGGGTCAGATTCCACAATACACAACTCTAACCTTGTTACCATGTATGCATTCAAGTAAAAGCTTGACATTTTAAGTATTTACCAAAATCTATAACTGTAATGTTCTGCCTATCAAACATGTGATGCTTTATCAATGTCCAGGTGTCAATTCAACTTTAATTGTTTTGGGGGCTGCAGTTTGTGAAAATGCTAAATCATATATATGACGCGAAATACTGTAGAGTAAAAATAATACACATTGTTTTATAATCCCGATTGCATCACACAATCTCCACCTGCAGGGTGATTATTTCAGACCGTTAAGGACTTCTTATCCTCTTAAAGTTTGAGATTGAAAACATCTTGTGGAGGAATGTGTGATTTGATAGAAAGCTCCCGAACAGCCACTAAATGGACCTTGTGCTTATCCTGTCCTCTTAATCAATTTAATTACAAATAACAGATTAGAAAGTGATCTCATTATACTTCTATAATGATGGACAACATTGACCAAAGGTGATTCTTCCTTAAAGGTCCCCTATTATACTCTTTTTCATCAGTATACTATAGGTCTCAGATATATACAGAACATGTCTCTGATTGGCTGAAACACCAAACAGATCATTGCAGCATCCCATAATCCCCTCTGTTTCAGCCCTGTTTCAAAAGTGCTGATTCTCTGTCTGTTACTTTAGATGAAAATAAGGAGCCACTCCCCACGCCCCTCTGAGAGGGTTAAAAATAACTCAATGGTGCTCTAGGAGGAGATTCAGGTGATAAGGTGTGGGGGTGGGGGGGGGGGGGGGGTTACCTTGGTTGGTGATTGGCTAATGGATACAAGCCAAAACATCGTTATGACATCATAAAGTGGCCAAAATCTGATCAGCTCATTTTCAGACAGGTTTTTATTAGGGCGTTAACGCAAAAAAATATTAACGCCACTAATTATTTTAACGCGATTAACGCATGTGTATTTTTTGTCCTCGGCCGCCCCGTAGTTTCAGAGCGCATCGAGTTTAAAATACCATCTACAAGCTGATGCTGACAGCCCCGCTCCTGCCGCCCGCTTGTGGCAGACCACACTTCCACGCTCACCGGCAGGCCCGGACTGGCCATCGGGAGGACAGAGAGGGTGTGTGTATGTGTGGCGCGAGCGAGGCACACCTTACGTGTTGTTGTTGTTGTTCGCATCTGGTGCTAGCTAGCTGAGCTAACGGATATAAGGAGCTGTTTCAATGAAAACAGAGGAGCGACATTTCGCCGACAACTGCGCCGAGCACTTGACTTTATGCAGGTAGCCAGACAGTGGGACATTGTACGAAAAGTCAGCACACTCAGCACGGATAGTACGCGCAACATGATTGCAGCGTCCAGGCAGCTCCCGTTCGAGCATATAGCCTTGAGCTGCACATAGCTCCAACGATCCATCACAGTGTCTCCACATTCTCACACACACACACACACACACACACACACACACACACACACACACACACACACACACACACACACACACACACACACACACACACACACACACACACACACACACACACACACACTTTGTATTGTATTATTGTATGAGAGAGGTTCCAGGTTGAATTGAGGCGAATATTTGTAATGTTCAGGTTGTTGTGTTTAATATTCATGAGAATATTTGTCATTGTTCAAATGATAATAAACAAACATATAAAGCATATTTGTCCACTCATATGTTGATATGAGTATTAAAAACTTGAAAAATATCCCTCTAAGGTAAATTTAGAACAGATAAAAAATGTGCGATTAATTTGCGATATATCGCAATTAACTATGGACTATCATGCGATTAATCGCGATTAAATATTTTAATCGACTGACAGCCCTAGTTTTTATATAAATGGATCAGGACAAAAAGTGAGCAAATCTTTTTTCCTGAAACGTTCAGAATCTCTTTACACAGAGGGGACACATGTTGAAGTAGAAGAGACATGAAGAAGAGGGGACACATGTTGATGTAGAAGAGACATGAAGAAGAGGATTTTACATAATAGGTGACCTTTAAGAAAACACCCTCTTGATCAGACAGTGATTTCCCTCAGACAGTAGCTCTTTAATGCACAGACCATCACTAACAGCGAGCATTGTCTGGTCCTCTGGAATAAATATGTTTGCTGCCATATCTTTCTGGAAGCTCAAACAGAGCTGCTGAGTGCTGCAGTTTCACTTTGCAATGACACAAAAGCACCTCTGAATGGTCCTCAGGGGCAGCCAATGGGCTCCAAGCAGCAGCAGCAGCACAGTGTCCACCAGCGGCCGCACACTGACAGTTTCCAGCCCGACTCCCGTGGGTGTTGGGGGGCAAAAAGAATTTTCTAATCCGTCACCATTGTACCAATTGTCTATAAAGATTATGTGCGAGTGAAGCTCTGCCTTCACAGGAGGGGCTATCAAATTCCAAATCACAGTTCATGAAAAAGAGTCCAAACAAAGAAATGAATGACTCAGAAGATTTCAAGGTAACAACTAACTTTTTCATTTGTGCATTTCTAGATACATCGCTCTTTGTTGACGTTGTTTGTGATCTTGTCTTTGCTTAGGTCATTTTAAGCAGATGCAGTAGCAGTAACAATGGTTTGGCTTATTGATAGCTACCTGCAGGATTATGTTTTTATGTTTGTTTAACCATGGTTGAATGCATTTATTGCAAGTTGCTTAAGATATAAGCGTCAGATCAATGACATTTATTTGTAATGTCTTTACTCTTATGCATTACAGGTTTAACTCCTTACAATCTTTGGTAACTTGAACAATCTCTTACCGTACTTGTGATAGACCCGTTGTGTGTTTTCCAGGAGGGCGAGAGTAGAAGCAAAGACCAAATCGATGGCACGAAGATGAGCCTGGGCAACAGGAAGGGGGTGAGGGTGTCTGGGAGAGATTCATCTCCCGTGGACTGGAGCTCAAGAAGAGGAGGTCCGTCTATCATCCATTCTCCCACCACCAGCACCCCTTTACCTCCAGAAACTCCTACTCTGATCTCCATCAGCCCTTTGCCTCACAAACCCCCAGCGCGGGTGGAGATTGAGCCTGCCGTCGAGGACGATTGGACTACAGGGATGCTCTTAATGTCTTTCATTTTTGTAAAGCACTTTGAATAGAGTGCTGCAGTAATGACGTATTTTTGTAGGCCGACCCGGAAGTAAGCTGCGCAATGGGATTTCTCCATAGGATTTTGGAATATTGGAAAAAATAAGATCTGTGGAAAACGAACCTGTTGCACGTTTTGTTCAGATAATCTCCACATGTCTACGCAACTTTTATAATTTTCGAATCATAAATCTAATGGCCAGAAGCAAAATGCTAACGTTATGCTATAAAGGAACTACAGCCGAGTACAGCAGGGTCGCACGACTTCAACGTCACGCCAACTTAAGATCCATATTCAAAAATACAGATTCTAAATGGTACGAGTTGAAGCGTTTGTTTGAACAGTTTGCAGGAGGCAGGTACTTGCTTTCAAGCAGAACAGGGCAAACAAACTTAGCGGGAGTGTTTACATGTTCGGCGTAATGACGTACAACGTCCTCGACAACTTCTGTAGTCCTATTCAGCCACTTGTTAACAACCATCGTTTTTCAGACACGTAAACTCTTCAAAAAATCACCAGCGGGGTCACTGCTGAGGTATTTAATGTCGTAGAACAAAACGTGATCCGTCTCTTAAATTTGTGTCGACCACAGACCTTATTTCCAGCTATTTTCCATAACCTAGTTAAAAAAACCCATTGACCCTAACCCGAGGGAATCGGAAGTGGTAACATGCTAACTCACTTCCGGGTTTTAGGACTCGTTCCTGCACCACTCTATTGCCTTGTGTTGAAAGGTGCTAAATAAATAAACTTGCCTTGCCTTGCCTTACAGGAGCTTCCTCTCAAACCAGAGCATCCTACGGTGAAACCAGCGTCCCCCGGCAGACCATGGAGGAGCTAAAGACCATCCTGAGAGACAGTCCTATGCTTAGCGTCCGGGAAAGAGACGAGGGGAAGCCAGGAAGTCCTTATACGTACCTCCATGGAAGCAGTGGTAATGGGAATGGACGGTCTGATGGACGGCAGGACGATGGAAACCCCAACAGGACGTTCAGCACCTTCAAACCCCCATGTGACGCTTCCAGAAGTGGGGCCAGGTTCAGCGACGGCACGTCTATTCAGCAGCCCTCCTGCGTGGATTCATCCAGCCCAATCAGGGTGGATGCCAACACAAATAGGCTGCCTGGAGTTAGGGCTCACACACATGCAAGCGGCGGATCCTGGGCAGAGACTGGAGCTCCTCATTCAGGTCAGTGAAGCTTTGGTTAAAAGACTAGAAGTTTGTGGCAAATCATTCAAAGGTGACTCAAGTCCTTCCTCCATCTTGGGTCAAGTATTGTTTTAAAAATGTTGGCTTTGTCTCATTCTAGTTCCTGTTTTGATTTGGATTGATTGATGGATATTGACCTTTTTGTGTTTTAACTTTTAACTATGAATTTGTTAGTTGAGTAGAATTAACTTGGTGTTGATCTCCAGCAGAAAGATTTCCTTTATTTCCTATTTGAAGTTGTCTTTCATTGGAATTTGCTTCTCTTCCCTCAGTATGTTAGCTTTACCAATACTGGATGTCTAAGGCGGAATCATTTATAGATATATGAGAGTTTAAAGAATAGAATGGGAATATTTTTGGCAGACTTGTTGTTTATTTTTTCTAACATAAACAATCTTTATACAGAATTATTTGTATATTTGAGGCCAAGATAAATATTTAGCAAGACAGTTTACATCATTGTCAGTGCTCTCTGGTGGACATACTCTGTACTGGTGACACTGGTTTGAAATGATCTCAAAGCGAGTTTGGCACTTCTGTAATATTGGCTGACTTATCAACGGACACCCTTGGTTGATCAAGGGTCAACAAAAACACAAATATCAATATATCTGCATAAACTAATATCAGCTTCTCAGATCTATCTGTCCAGCTGTACTCAGACCTGACATGAAACTAAACTGGATAAAGATTTGACTAATTTTCAGAAATTCTAAAGTAAAACGAAGGTTTCATATTTGTTTTTTCTTTCCAAGAATACGACACAAAGCATTTGAAATTAAACTCTCTGTTGCTTATTAAATGTTTTATCTCAGATATTTCATACTCTGTTCCACAGATAACGACTCTGTTGATAGTATTGGAAATCAGAGGTTCATTGCCAACATGGAGCAGATCAAGCAGCAGATCGCCAGAGAAAACATCAACTTTGTTCGCTTTGAGGCCACCGACCTCCACGGGGTGTCCAGGTCCAAGACAGTGCCTGTCCGCTTCTTCCACGTAACTACATCTATCTATCTCTCTATCTATCTCTCTATCTATCTATCTATCTATCTATCTATCTATCTATCTATCTATCTATCTATCTATCTATCTATCTATCTATCTATCTATCTATCTATCTATCTATCTATCTATCTATCTATCTATCTATCTATCTATCTATCTATCCATCCATCCATCCATCCATCCATCCATCCATCCATCCACCCATCCATCCATCCATCCATCCATCCATCCATCCATCCATCCATCCATCCATCCATCCATCCATCCATCCATCCCTCCCTCCTAATTTTGGGTTTTACAGGGTTTTACAGGGTTTTACATGTTTAATGCTGGAACTTTTTCTTGGAAGTCAATAGACGCTCCAGATTAATTTGGCTAGACTGAAGTGCCAGATGCATGGTTTAAACTTTTTTAAAGAAACACCATGCCAATCCCTCTAAACCAAAGTTAGATTTTTGCATTAGTGTTTGTCTAGGAATTTGACAAATATATGGTATATATTGATCGATTGTCAAGGATTAAGCGTTAGAGGTATCGTTAGGCCTTTTTTTTTCTATTTTGGACAGAGCTTAATTTGTTTCACTTGCTCTCAGTTTTTATGCTTTTTATACATCAACGTGATAGCTTATCAACTCTAGAAAAACAAAGTGAATAGGTATATTTTGAAACATTTAGAATTCATGCTTCAACACAAATGTATCCACAGGAAAAAGCGGTGTACGGGGTACCGATGCCCAGAAGCTACCTGGAGCTGACCCTGAGCTCTAAGAGCAATGAAGTAGACAACGCCAGCACCGCCAACTTCAGCGGTGATGTCCTGCTGATCCCAGATCTGTCCACCTTCAGGGTCTTACCCTGGGCGGAGCAGACAGCGAGGGTGATCTGCGACCCCTGCACCGTGGCAGGAAACCCCCTCCGAACCTCACCTCGCCTCATCGCCAAGCAGCTCCTCGCACAGCTCCAGGGCCTCGGCTTCTCCCTTCACTCATCCTTCAGTTATGAATGCTGCGTCCTGGGAACACCAGACCGCATCGGACCGAAGACGCTCCTGTTCCCGGCCACAACGCTGCTCAGCAACCACGACCTGCCTTTCTTCCAGCAGCTGGTGGACAGCATGTACTGCATGGGCGCAGACATCGACAGCATCGCCTCTGCAAGCGGCCCCGGCCAGATGGAGATCAACCTGAGGCCAGAGTTTGGGATTGCGGCCGCAGATACCGCCTTCACTTTCCGCACCGGCATCAAAGAAATGGCTCGCAAGTACAGCTACATTGCCAGCTTCTTCACAGACGACGGCCTGTACAATGCTGGGGTTCTCTCTCACAGCTTGTGGGATGCTAACGGCCGACGTAGCCTCTTCCAAAGCGGGGAGAAGGCCAGTGAGCTTTCTGAGATTGGCAGGAAATGGCTTGCCGGGCTTCTCAGCCACTCTGCTGCTCTGAGCTGCCTGATGTCGCCCGGCCTGGGCTGCCGGAGCCACATCGCAAAGACAATCAAAGACCCGAAACTCATGCTTTACGCCACATGCGGCTGCAATGATAACAGCAGCTCCTTCAACATTAAGAGTCACGGGGGGAGGGAGACGCACATCGACAACAAGCTGGGCTCAGCTATGGCCAACCCGTACATCGTGCTGGCTGCCACTGTGGCCGCGGGACTGGACGGCATCAAGAGAAACCTGAACATCGAGAGCGGTGTAAACAAAGCGCCCGGTCAGCAGAAGGACTTTGCCGTTCCTGTGAAGCTCGACGAGGCTCTGGAGGCGCTGAGCGAGGATCAGGTCATCTGCAGCACCCTCGGAGAGCCGTTTGTTCAGTATTTCATTGCCATGAAAAAGTTTGAGATTGAGACCCAAGAACTGGATGATGAGAGGAACAAGTGCCTGGAGTATTTCATCTAGAAAGCCCACAGACTTCCCCCTGCTACTCAAATAAAGGCTATAAAAACAGCTTGCAAAGCTTTTTATTTTATATGATACCTGTTTATTATTACTGATTGTAGATATTTTTCAGTTATTACAAAATAAAAGTATTACTACATCATCAATGTTTAAAGCACTTTTGTAAAATGTTGTTGTGTTTATATATATCTTTTTTTAAATTAATTTAAAGAACATTACTGATGCTACTGTCGCTTTATCCAGTGTGAAGTACTGAATGATCAATTAATAAAATAATTTGTGAAAAAAATGGCTCGGACCTACAGAAGAAAACTTTAAAATGCTTTGACTCTTATACTAAAAATGGCTCTCCAACTTAAATAGTGTCAGTTTTTTTTTTTTTTTTGTATGCAATGAAAATGTTAACCTCTTGGTGGCTCCCGACGTTAAGTTTTGTTTTCCTGTAGGCTATTAGTAGTTTTCTAAGAGGTACCTACACTTTATTTTATCCAAGCGTATGTTAGCGTACCCTTACTTCTCTTCACAAAAAAACACTTCTTTCATTTAAGTATCTTTTTCACGATGTATTCTTTTATTTACAGTGTATTTTACAGACATAAATACATGTAGGCGCAATCTACAACACAACACAAAAAGTATCAGTTTCCCCAATTTACAAAAAAAACAACTATTTTAGTGGTACCAATCCTTCCAGATTATTCAGTATAATTCGGCTCTGATTTTGAGAAGTCAAAACAATGCTAGTGCTGCTACCTGCATTAGAAAGTAACAATAAAATATGCAACATAATGGTTTTATAAAAGCAATGCCGTAGTTAGTCAACAGACCAGGGAACCATTTCTCTAGTAGAAAGTGGATTTAAAAAAACCTGTTCCCAGTGATGTTTGAAAATGTATTAAAAAGTAATTGAGACTTTGTAAAAGAGATACCTTATTAGTCCCACTGATCCCAATGATATATTTCCCTTTAGTTAAACACTGTTTTATTGTATGTTTAGTTTTATTAAACATCTGGATTACTCAGTATAACAATCATGCATATCCATGAGGATGACAACAGTTGAGCAGTACAGTACATATCATAATCATCACAAGACAACTCATAAACAACAACAATATAAAATGTACAACATGAAGCCCTTTCAAAAAAAATATAATTTACAAATGAGACAAAGAGAAAATACAACGATGGGTAAGGTTTGCTATATAACATCCCATTAGTCCGTCTATGATGTTCTTCCTAAAGCTGTAATTATTAACTAGCACACAGGAGGAAATAGTGCGTTTGTTGGGGACTATTTTCAGCGGTGGATTAATACACATTTGGTGAGTATTTGTGGCATCGGGATAGTGTGTGGAATTGAGTGTGTTCATGTGTTTCATAGTTTTTATATACAAATGGAGCTCTATGGTAAAGAGACATATCAGGCTCTGATACACACACAATACTTATATTCTGTCCTTAAGTAAACGTTCAAAAATAAAAAAAACTTTCAAAATAAAGTCATATATTTTAAATATACAAGCATTAGACTGTCATATTCACCCTGCAATATCTTAATAATGTAAACACCTTGACTGACAACCCGGCTTCCCTGTAACGTCCGATTCATGGTCACACATTTAGAAGCAGACACCTGTTAAATGGCTTCTTGTGTTTTGGTAACGGTGGTAAATATGTTCCCCGATAAGATCTAAGACACATTATCCAACAAAAGAAACATGTTGCATGCTGCAGTGATAACCACCCAACTATGTCTCTGTTGGGAAGCCAAATAAAGCAATGAACAATACGGGCTGTGTCCAAAATCACTCACCACTACTCTACTATAGTGACTTGCCTTTCTGTAGTGCTGTGGGAAGGAACAACGGAAATAATTTCACCCTATTTAATGGAAGATCTTTATAATATGTATTTATATCGGTAATATAGAGATGGTCCACGAGCAGAAGCTGCTTTGGCACATGTTTATTTGTGCATCTTTTCAATCGATTTTTTATCTTCAGAGTCTACTGTATATTTTCTACTTTTTTATGCTGTTTTAATTCTATTTTGAGATGTTTAAATTCTAGTATTGTTTATACTTTAATTTCTACTCATGTGCAATGCCTTGTTTTGTTTTGTTTTTTATGCTCCTGCAACGCAAACAAATCCCAATTTGGGATCAATAAAGTACCTCTTACCTTTCCTTTTCTCAGACAGCAATGACATTATTAACAGCGCAGATAAATGACCCGAATTGAGTCCGTTTTTTTTGCAGATGAGGTCACTATGTATACCTCTACATAGAACTCCTTAAAGAGTAGTGAGTGGAGTACAGTCACTTAAACTTTTTTTTTTTAAATCAAGGCTGAAGACCTTTCTGTTTGACGCTGCCATTTAATAAATCAAATAGTTATTCATATCTTACACAACACTGTTCTGGGTGTAGTTGCTTAGTTGTCGGTATGTGCTATATAAACAATCTTGTAGTGAATAACTTCAGAAACATCCATGGATTATGCACTAACACCGCCTTCCTTCCTGAACAATGCGTCGTCTATTACTTTTTCCACCCTCTACTTGTTCTTGCCTATCAAATTTCCGACCCGTTGCATGAATTTCCCCAGTTTGTTGTCCGAGCCACTCTGTTTGTCCAGAGGTTTAAGTTCTGGGTTGTACAAGTATTCGTATCGGCTGTAGACTGGGTCTCTGCGGTCTCGAGCGAGGATCCCTCCCTCTACGTTCAGAGTGCTCCTCGATCCTCGCTCCTGCTCTCCTGCAGGGTTCGGCTTCTTCTTGCTGGATCGCTGTGGACTTAATCTCTGGAACGGAGATTTATGCTTCTCTGTGTCTGCTGAAGAAGCTAAAGAGCTGTGCGACCGGGAGACGCTCGGCGAATGACCTTTCTTGGGTGTCGTTTGCTCTGCCGCCTGTGAATGGTCCGCTCTGATTGGTGGGGTTGATCCCGACGGGTTTTGTGTTCTCAGAGATTCCTTTCTTCGTAGCGACTTCTCTTCTTTCTTTGATGCTTTCTTTTCGTCAGCGTTAAGCAGCGAATGTACTTTCATTCTCAAGGAATTCATCCTTTGAAGGGTTGGTTCCTCCCGTTGTGTTTGCTTTTTGTCCGCTTGACTACTCCCAGCTTCATCGGCATGCTGAGATTCTGTGGAAGTGCTCTTTGGTACAGTTTGTTCGTCTTTGGATATTGATTGCTTTCTTTCTTTTGAAGCGACTGAGCTTGAGCTGTTGGACACCTTACCTACAGAACCAGGGTTTAGTCTGGTTTGATCCTGGCGCATTGGTTCTGCGGCCTTACCTACAGAACCAGGGTTTAGTCTGGTTTGATCCTGGCGCATTGGTTCTGCGGCCATACCTACAGAACCAGGGTTTAGTCTGGTTTGATCCTGGCGCATTGGTTCTGCGGCCTTACCTACAGAACCAGGGTTTAGTCTGGTTTGATCCTGGCGCATTGGTTCTGCGGCCTTACCTACAGAACCAGGGTTTAGTCTGGTTTGATCCTGGCGCATTGGTTCTGCGGCCTTACCTACAGAACCAGGGTTTAGTCTGGTTTGATCCTGGCGCATTGGTTCTGCGGCCTTACCTACAGAACCAGGGTTTAGTCTGGTTTGATCCTGGCGCATTGGTTCTGCGGCCTTACCTACAGAACCAGGGTTTAGTCTGGTTTGATCCTGGCGCTTCGGTTCGGCAGGTATGCTAGATTTCACAGAGTTCTGCTTTGGTAGAGCTTTTTCGTCTTTGCCTATCTCCTCATTTGCTTCTTTGAATGCAGCTGAGTCGGCGCTGTTGACACGTGAACCCTCTTTCTCCTCAGGGATCTCCGTCAAAGCCTCCATCGCTCTTGGGTGTTGGAGACCGCTGGGCTGCAAGTGGGAGAGCTTGAGCGAGGGATCGTTTAATTGTATTTCCAAATCAGCAGCTGAGGTTGTCCTGGAGAGAGACTCGTGCCAGTCGTATTTCGGTGTTGTTTTTTTATCTGGAGCCGTCGTGACGTCGTAGTTGGAAGCCGAGCGATGGCCATCAGAGAGAGGTTGCTCTCTTTTGTCACCTTCCTTATTTGGCTCACTGTCTTTGTGATTGGTTGGTTCCATGCTGACCCCATTTTGCACAATTGGCTCTAATTCTGGGATACTCTGCCTCATGTCCAGACTTCTTAATGAAGACAAATACTTTGGTCTGTCCAGAGCCTGGTACATAGACCTCAAGGACTCTTGGCTCTGCCTGAGGTTGCTGAAGTCCTGCAGACTGAGCCTCTTCTGCCTCATTTCCTCCATCCTGGTCTTAATGTCCCTCGATCTAAGTTGGATCATCTGTGATTGCTGCTCATTCAAGCCTGTGTGGCTGCTATACGGAGAGGACATTGGGGATAATGCATCATCTTTAGGCCCGTTGCTGTCGTTAAAGTATGCGTCCATCTTCCACCTGTGGAGGGATGTTTCAGAGTTGAATGGTATCAGATTTTGGTCCGCTCCGTAGCGAGTTCGGTGTCTAATGTGATGTTGAGACAACCTATTTTGTAGCAAGTTAAGTCCTGTTTTATCGGGGGCAACAGGCAGTCCGAGGTCTTTAGTCCCCATCCTCAGTCGAGTTGAGGAGTTTAACTTCTGCAGCTCTCCGCCATAACTGTGTCCACGCACCAGGTTCCCCATGTCGAAACAGTGAGTTTGATTCAGCCTCTCCTGAACGCTCAGGCCTCTCGTCATGGCGCCGTTGTTAAATCCATCCTGAGCGCTCCTCATGCCTTGCATCACTTTGGGTCTCATGTGGATTTGGTGGAGGGAAAGCTGGCTGGAGTTTGGGCTCCCGAGGGTCACGCCTTCTTTCAGGAGCTGGATGGAAGACATTTCCTTGGACAGAACTGCAGGGACTGTGGAGCGACCGTAAAGTCGTCTAAACTCCTCGTCATAAGAGCCCACCAGCTGACCAGTGATCACCAGGACCATGCTGTGGTTGATCTTCTCAAACGCCCACGTGTAGCTGGAACAGAAACACACCATCCAGCAGGGATCATTAACCTGTTACTTATACAAACTTTTGCATCTAATTGTTAAATCAAAAACCTTTGTTCACTGCTTCAACAGAGAAGAAACTAAAACTCAATTGAACTCACTTGATGTTGTGACTTCTTGGACTTGGGTGAAGAACAACCCTAACCCTAACCCTTACCGAACCCAAAAATCATCAAACCCTAATTCCCAAGTATTAGCATTTTCAAGACAAATTCAGGCCTTTTTTAAATTCAGGATTGGTTGAGGGAGCAGAAAGTAAGCTGCTTTTTAAACTTGCCATGCAGATTTGTTTTCTTAAGAATGTGGTCAGACCATACGGATCATGCACCTGGCCAAGATACAAAACCATAAGAGGCACCAAATTAATTTGATTTATTTGGAATAAGGTTAATAAAAGGCCCCTGAATACATGTGAAAAAGGGTAAAAGTAGGACAGACTCACCTGTATGTTCCAAACAGCACTGTTCGGCAGTCCACCAGAATAAATCTTTGCTCCAAATCTCCACTGAACTTCACCCCGGAGCGGCACTGATACCGCAGCCCAGGAACCGTCCGAACACGGAGCTTCTGATGGAGAAACAAACACAAAAAGGTCACCAGGTTAGAGATACTTTAGCATTTAACCATCCAGCAGATACACAGCCACATTAGCAGTATGTGGAGTGGAGTTGCTTTGCTCTGCTACATCATGCTAACTAGCTGTAACTGAGAAAACTGCCATTTTCAAGCATGGAAAGTAAAAATAGTAGCTTCCTAAGCACTTCCTGGTTGACCCGTTTCCGCCAGCCCATTGGCTTTGCGGAAAAAGAAAGCAACATTTTTATTGGACCACGTTATAGCAATGACAATTTCGACTCTTTCAGGGACTCAGGCAGAAGAGCAATTGTGTTGACTTGAACTGGGAACCAGATGGTCACCAAACGGTCACTGGTTCAAATCACTGCACAGACCAACAAAATAAAAAGAAATACATTATATTTAAAAACAAACAATGGTTTTCTGGAGCAATGCAACAATCTCCCAAAAGTGCCCCAAGGCGCTATACTATGGCCATCCTTTCCCCAAACACCTCTCCATTAATGAATGTATAGATCCTGTTTGTGCATGTGTTTATATCAACTGTTCTATAACTGTATAACAACAGAGTAAAAACTGAATTTCCCCGAGGGGATTAATAATAATCGGTTAGTTTAGGTTGAAGAGTTAAAAGTGTATTCAACAAACACAGTCCATCAGTCTTAGATATGTAATACATCTCCTTTCATTCTGCCTTAAATCAGAAGACATTGTATTTGACCTACAGTAGGCTTCTTCCAAAATATACCAAAAAGTAACTTCACTAGATTTAAGTAATTCTGGGAAATTAGCAAAGTAGCAACATGATGAAACCTGTGTGTTTCATTACATCAAGACACACAGACACACACACACACACACACACACACACACACACACACACACACACACACACACACACACACACACACACACACACACACACACACACACACACACACACACACACACACACACACACACACACACACAGACAGACAGACAGACAGACAGATAGACGGATAGACAGTCACACACACACACACACACACACACACACACACACACACACACACACACACACACAGACAGACAGACAGACAGACAGACAGACAGACAGACAGATAGACGGATAGACAGTCACACACACACACACACACACACACACACACACACACACACACACACACACACACACACACACACACACACACACACACACACACACACACACAGACACACAGACAGACAGACAGACAGACAGACAGACAGACAGACAGACAGACAGACAGACAGACAGACAGATAGACGGATAGACAGTCACACACACACACAACACACACACACACACACACACACACACACACACACACACACACACACACACACACACACACACACACACACACACACACACACACACACACACACACACACACACCCTTTGTGATCCTCAACATGATGAAACCTGTGTGTCAGTTTCTCTGAGTCTGGTATTTCTAATACTGTCTAAGCGGTTTCTTCTTTCAGCTCTAACCTCCTCTTGCTGCTCAACAGGAAAATCCAGCCTCGAACAGATCTGTCTTACGGCGTCTCGCATGAATAATGACAGGTAATGATGCACGTAGCAGGGACGTGCTGGTAAATGACAGTGTTTTCACCAGGGTGTGGAGCAAATGTCAGACTTAATCCACTGAAAGCTCTGCCAACAGAAGAAAGGTCGAGCCACAGGCAAAGCTTCCCTTGCAGGAGACATCATGTACATGTACAATGACATTACATGATTCTATTCTATTCATCGGGGGAATAACAATCTGCAAATATACGGATAAAAGAGCGGGAAGATAGGGCGTTTTCCGAAAATGCTGTTATTGTGTTAGATTGTTTACTTTTGAGTGTGGTTTAATATAGCTTTAATTAGATAATGTCTATCTTCCTATTCTTCTAGTTGACCAGAAAATAAGCAATTTCTAAATCTTAAAATCCTAAACTTCACACGTGCATTTAAGAAATCAATGTTTGAGTCCATCAAGGATGCTTATCTTTCTTGAATGATTAATAGTGAGTAGATTTAGGATGTATTTTGTTCAATTGGTAAAACTAATTGAAGCAATAAAGATGGCAGACAGAGTCTTTGTTTACATAAAGTATTTTTTTTACAAAATCACATTATGTGCATCGGTGTGAACGCGCCTGTGTTTCTTTCTTATTGAGCATTTGCAAAGCTCATGTTTTCAAAGATTACAAATCTCTGATTACATTTATCTTACTGCCTTTTTCAGGACTTTCTCACCACTATTAGATCAGTGTAATTGCGTGAGACTGCAAAGGTCACTGCAGGCTTGGGCATGTCATTCTGTATTCGTTGCATGAGAACAATGACCCACTCATAAAAGCCTTGATCTTTATACACCTCTGGGATATTGGTCCCTTTCAGCCCTTCAAACAAACGTTAAATTACGTGTAATACATTGTTACAGCAAGAAAGATCCACGCTAAGTCTACACTGTGATCATCTTTCCCTTCATGAACCCAAAGATCTCCAGGTTCCCCTTGCCCTTTGGCTTTCTGTTGACAGATCACTTGCTATTGCACTGGGACTCTCAGAAAACGAAAGAAATGTCCGCTGGTAATGGTAACACGACTAGTGGACAAGGAGTAGTTTGATCCTTCTCTGGATAAAGAACAAGCATCACACTGACAGGAAGTAGGCGGATGTTGAAACTGGTGGATGGACATGATGGTGCAGGGGCAGAAATACAAAATAACTTTTTCTGTTTTAAACCTCAACTAGAATCAAAATCAATCACAACATCATCATTGTCATTATACTTGTTGTGCAACAAAACATGTGCAGGTCGATGTAGTTTGAAAGAGAAACAGATACATTAAAACAGTAATAGCAGCAAAGAAAATACAAAAATATAAGGCACTATTATATTACAAGGTTTGACAAGGTTACAAAATGTACAGATTTGGTTTTGGTGTTAATAGATAGATTTAAAACAAAGATACAGTTTTGTCATTCTGTTAAGTTGTCCTGAGATTAACACATGAACATATATATAATAACTTGCTTGTTTTCCATAAGTTAGACTTTAAGAAACACTCAAATGGATTTTCTCTCAGCTCTACGAGGAGACTGAGATCCTCTGAAATCTCACTCAACTCACAGACAAAAATCTGTGTTTTTTTTCCAAATGACACTGTCGTCCCACTCAATATCGTGTCATTGCACTAGATTGAGGCTTAAAGTGAGATGTGGGGGGTTGCGAAGCTCCACTTAATTCCCAAATGTAGATACAGTAACTTCCAAAATGGCACCTTTAAGCTCCTGTGTAATATGGCGGCAGAAACCAACTTGAACTTTCTCTTTGCACGTCTAATGTTCTTTATTTCCCACCTTGAGGTCCTGGATGTTGATGCCCACCCTCTGCGTCATGTTGAGGAAGCTCCTGATCTGAGACTGGTCCAGCAGGATGTAAACCACCACTCCTCTCAGCGTGGCCGTGACGATCTCTTTGAAAATATCCACGTCAGTGAACACGTCCATCGCTATGGCGATACACTGGAGAAACCATAAACAATTGAAAACACATTTTAATACAGGAAGAAAAACAAAGTTATTCTGTGATAGAGTTGAAAAACTGAAAAAGGATTCCAAGTTATGAAGACATTTATTTGACCGATGTTGCTCAACAAATGTTCCTCCAAGTGAAATACATTTTTATTTATGTTTAAATACATTTTTGTTTTGTATTTTTTGTATTGACTTTTTTTACTTTATATCCTTATGGTTAGATACATACAGTTTGATTGTAACCAGGGCCGTCCCTGTCCAACATGAGGCCCCACGCAAAGTCATATGGTGAGGCCCCTCTGTTTCGGGGGGGGGGTTTCGGAAACCGTGCTGCGCCACACTAATTGTGCCTCATAAGCGCATAGGTGCGCCGCATTTTCGGCTCAGGTGAGGCCCCCTCTGCAAGGTGAGGCCCCCTCCGCAAGGTGAGGCCCCCTCCGCAAGGTGAGGCCCCCTCCGCAAGGTGAGGCCCCCTCCGCAAGGTGAGGCCCCCTCCGCAAGGTGAGGCCCCCTCTGCAAGGTGAGGCCCCCTCCGCAAGGTGAGGCCCCCTCTGCAAGGTGAGGCACCCTCCGCAAGGTGAGGCCCCCTCTGCAAGGTGAGGCCCCCTCTGCAAGGTGAGGCCCCCTCCGCAAGGTGAGGCCCCCTCCGCAAGGTGAGGCCCCCTCCGCAAGGTGAGGCCCCCTCTGCAAGGTGAGGCACCCTCCGCAAGGTGAGGCCCCCTCCGCAAGGTGAGGCCCCCTCCGCAAGGTGAGGCCCCCTCCGCAAGGTGAGGCCCCCTCCGCAAGGTGAGGCCCCCTCCGCAAGGTGAGGCCCCATGCAGTCTGCATGATCGGCCTGTAGGGAGGGACGGCCCTGATTGTAACTATTATTTATCTTTGATTGGGACATCTTTCCTTTAACTTCTTCAGTTTGTTTAAATGTCTTCTTATGTTTGCATTAAGATTTGTATTAGTTTCTATTTTATTCAACATTTATTTGATTTCTGATTAAGATGTAAAAGAGGGTGTGAACAAAGGAATGATTATATATCTGGATGTGTGCATTTCTTTGTCTGCATGCACAACATGTAAATATAAACTTTAACCTGAACCCTCAATAACATCTCTTAAGTCTTCAAATGTTTTTTGTGGCAATATTGAATGTCTTTTTATCGTGATTCAAGCCATTTCAAGACATAATTAAAACATACTTGTAGTGCCATGGAAGAATAAAAAAGGATCGGTATGCTCACCGTGTTATTAAAGAGTTAGCTTAACTTTACGAGGTATATTATTATTCTGTCACACACGCAGCATGTTCTGTTAAATACATGTTTCAGTCATTATAAGAGGCGTGGTTCTCTGAGGGGATAAAGGACGACTGTTACCTGAAATCTGATTTATGGTTTGTTCCTTGACAATTATCAGGTTGAAATGTTTTACAGGACATGAATACATTAAGAAGTGCAAGTCAAGCTGATACACTGTAAGCATGACATAAATCTTCTTCAGAAGGTGGACACACACACACACACACGCACGCACGCACGCACGCACGCACGCGCACACACACACACACACACACACACACACACACACACACACACACACACACACACACACACACACACACACACACACACACACACACACACCCACCCCGCAGTACTTTGTGAATGATTAGCTCCAGCAGAGAACACACAGGCTAAGACACGTTGCTGAGTGTCTGAAGGGGAACTTGGCCTTTACGTTAACCTTTTCTATTCAGACCTTTCTACTTCTCTCTGCATGCAAATTATCTTTTGCTGTCTGTGAAGCTGAACACAAAGGGTGTGGAGAGTAAAAAGACATATGTTACTCATGCAGAGGCAAGTGGATTCATTATTCATATTTGGAAGAGCAGACTAATCCATCACCTCAGGTGTTTTATTTCTAAAAGTCAGTTTTCTGCCAGCTGAAGGTCACACTTTTAACTTTAAGTAGCTGCTGCACAGACTTTTACTCCTTTCCTCACAAAGTACTTGTTGCTACTCACTTTCTCGTATGTAATAAACTGTTACAACCAACATGTACTTATATTATTGTGCCAACATCTGCTGTTCAGCTAAAGGAGTCAAATGTTTTACGCAAAAACAATGCGTTACGAGTAAAAGTCCTGCGTTTTAAATACAAAAGAGGCGTAAAACTCTGCTTCAACTCACAGAAGAACATAATGCATTTTAGCACGTTTTATAATAACATAGAGTATATGGTATTACGGTTGTTGATGTATCCATGTGCTCATCACCTTAATATTCTCGCTAATATATTTAAAGGGGACCTATCATGCAAAATGCACTTTTGTACGTCTTTTATACATGAATATGTGTCCCCGGTGTTCCAGGGAACTCACCAAGTGTCAGAAAACACAACCCTCTCTATTTTCCTCCATACCCAAATCTCTAAAAAAGGGGCTGCAACGGATCTGATAAAAACTGATCCAGATTTGAACACTGTCCTGACGTCAGGACGGTGGCGCTACGGCTATTGGGCCAACTCCACCAATCAGGAGGAGACAGCCACGGCCATTGCCGTTCGAAAGCGCTTGAGACGCTGTAGTACATATGCCAGGCCTCTAGATGGTGCTGTTCTCACTGAATCAACCCTTGCAGAAACAGAGCTATAAATTGTCAAATTGAGCGAAATGAGGCATGGCTAAAATGCATGATCTGTTTGGTATTTTGAAAAAAAAAAAGTATAAATATGGCTTATATAGGTATGGTCCTACACTATATTATTATAATATAGCATGATAGGTCCACTTTAAATTATGTTTTGTATACATTACTGCTGGGCTCGTGAGTTCCCCCTGTGGATCTAAAGAGTCTCAACGATACAATAATATTATATTTATTTGCTGATAAGTGATTCTGTGATCTGTTTCTTCATGTGTTATTTGAAATATCCCAAGTCAAGTGTACAAACATTTCTCTTAAAGCTGGAGCCATTTGATGAGTTATAAAATCCAGTCATTACCCGCCTTCATATCGTACAAGTTGTTTACAATGCATTACTTTACTGCAGCTGGTGTCTTTTTAGACCATAGGATGAGCACCACAGGGCGTTCAGTGAGCTGTTGTTTATGCAGAGAAAAATGTAGTTAGATGTGTGTTTTCTCCTCTCCTTCAACGCCTCTCATTGTGTTTTTGTGCCGCCAATTACCTGATGTCTTTGGGTGTGAGCACCACACACAGAGAGATGAAACTCCTCACATTCATCCTGCTGATGCATAACTCTGACCTCACCTTCACTGTGCTTTTTAAAAACAGTAGTAGAAAGTGCCTTTACTCAGGTGTTTACCTAACTTTACTTCTGACATACAGTACTTGTACTTTAAAATACACAAAAACACTGGTCTGTTGTACTATTGAGAGTATACTCTTACTTTTCACAGTTTTGCTTAATAATACTTCTGTACTTCTACGAATAGGACATTTAAACTGTACTTGTAATGAAGTATTTTAAGATCACAGTATTTCTCCTTTAAAGTGGACCTATCATGCTATATTTAAATGATATATTGTAGGGCCATACCTATATAAGGTATATTTATACGTTTCCGTTTTCAAAATACCAAACAGATCATGCATTTTAGCCATGCCTCATTTCGCTCTATGTGCTGTTCTCCAGCACTGTTTTTGCAGGGGGCTGATTCTGTGAGCTGCAGCTGACCACGCCCCCCTGCAGCACAGGGGAGCCGCTCTGATCAAGTCAGAAGAGGGGGAGAAAAAGAGATCTCCGTCCTCCGTGTTTTATTATAGCCTATTATTATATAGAGTCGTTATTCATTTGTTTTAAAGCTCAATAAATAACAAAGCAGAGCTTTGACCGGCACTTTTCAAATTTTGTCCGGAAGATTTAAACTTTAACGGACACCTTGACCGGCGAAAGAAAACCTAACTGAAACTCTGCCGCACGGTCCCCTCGTTCCTTGGAAGAGGCGGAGAGGTGGGTGTTTGTCATCTGCTGGTGGACTAACCGGAGAGAATTACAATGCTTGAACGACGGGGAGGGATTGCATTGAATTAAAGCAGCGGGAGCAAACGCTTGCCTCGGGGAGGGAGAAAAAAAGCCACAGCGGAGAATAAACAGAAGGGTAACCATGGTAACCATGCGCGGGAAGTCTTCTTCGCTGCTTTTGTGGCAGACTACAGTGCCACTTACAGGCCTGGCATATGTACGACAGCGTCTCCAGCGCTTTCGAGCGGCAATGGCCGGCCGTGGCCCAACCCCACATTCCCCTGATTGGTGGAGTTGGCCCAATAGCCGTAGCGCCACCGTCCTGACGTCAGGACAGTGTTCAAATCTGGATCAGTTTTTATCAGATCCGTTGCAGCCCCTTTTTTAGAGATTTGGGTATGGAGGAAAATAGAGAGGGTTGTGTTTTCTGACACTTGGTGAGTTCCCTGGAACACCGGGGACACATATTCATGTATAAAAGACGTACAAAAGTGCATTTTGCATGATAGGTCCCCTTTAACTAAGATGAGCATCCGAGCAAAGGCGTCACTTTGCCTGGATAAGTGTTTTGGACATAAGGGCTCAGATAAAACCTTTAACACGCAATTTATGTTATATGTGTGTTTTGACTTATTATTCTCCAAGTCTGGAAAAAATGCATTACTGTGTATCATAAGAGCGTATAGTATAAGAGAGTTTGCAATGTTAAATTGTTATTGGCAAAAATGACAGTCATTCATAGGAAATCATTAATGAGTAAGAAATTAGAACTTACATTTGTTCAACTTATTGGTGCATTTTTTTGTCAGTAGGTTGTTTTTTTCTTTTTTAACTTGTTAGATTCTTCAGACTATGCACATTTAAAAATATATATATATTTACATTGCACTTCCTGCTGTCTTATTGTGCAAACAAACCCTTCTGAAACATTCGCATTATTACATTTCTTGGTGCACGCAGAACATTATTAACATACAGTATTCTTTAGAAAAGTCCCCAGCTTCCCCAGTGTAAATGACACCTATGGATCTGTACTTCTCCCCCTGTGTTTTAAAGTATTTAACAGTATTTAGTTCTCACCAGCCTGGCCTCCTGGATCTGTTTGCGCACCACCTCCTTGATGGTGGGGGTGTTGAGTCTGGGGGGGTTGAACAGTAGGCTGATGGAGGTCTCCGCCCCCTCCAGAGCGACCTCAGGCCAGCCCAGGTCCAGGTCCGGCACCTCCTCATCGGACTCAGTGGGGAAGTAGGTGGAGGGGCTGGCTTCATCCGTGACCTTCTTCCCCTCCGAGGAGTCGTCGTCCTCCAGCACCGGTAGCTCTGCATGTTCCAAAATGAACTGGATCTCCTCCTCCGACAGGAAGTGGCTGATCTGCTCCACCCTGAGGAACTCCTCGTACGCCTCCTGGCCTCCACACAGCAGCGCGTAGATGGCCAGGCGGTAAGTCTCCTTATAATGTGGCTGTATGTAGAGCAGATCGCCTTCTTCTTTCAGGGAAGACAGGCCGGACAGATTGGACTCCATGGTCGAAAATTCCCACAGGTCTCTCTTTACCTTTAATGTGAGAAGATGTGTTAATAATCAATCAACTAACCAAACAATCAACCAACCAACCAACCAACCAACCAATCAACCAACCAACCAACCAACCAACCAGTCCCCCCATGCATACATCAATCCACCAACCAACCCATCCATCCATCCATCCATCTATTACATTACATTACATGTCATTTGTTAGACGCTTTTATCCAAAGCGACTGACATACATTCAGTACTGTGGACAATCCCCACAGGAGCAATTTGGGGTGAAGTGTCTCAGGGACACAACGACATGCTGACTGCAGTGGGACTGAACTTGCTATCCCCTGATTCGAAGTCCAGCACACTATCTACTGAGCCACTGAGCCAGCCATCCATCCATCCATCCATCCATCCATCCATCCATCCATCCATCCATCCATCCATCCATCCATCCATCCATCCATCCATCCATCCATCCACCCATCCATCCATCCATCCATCCATCCATCCATCCATCCATCCATCCACCCATCCACCAACCAACCAACCAACCAACCACCAACCAACAAACCTACAAACCAATTATGAGGTAGCACCATAAATGTCACTTCTGTGAGGCAAATAAAGGATTTCTGATATTTGACCCTTTTTATTCGGATACTACTCAACTATATCTATCGATAAAGACAGATGAAACCAATCAATTAAATAAAAAGGAGGGTTGCTGTTAACATGCTGCCACACTACAAAATGTAAATGAAGCAACACTGGAGAGCTCAATGAGAGAGAAAATGTAAAAACCTGTCCAACAAGTGTGATTTACCAGTTAGGTAAACAGTGACAGGCATGCAAGACAGTTGGATATCATTCAACATTTTAATAACAAATGTACAGTATACTATTTGCCAGTGAAATGTAGTGGAGTAGAAGTAAAAAGTAAAATAGAAATCATCATAAAGGTCTTAAAGCGCTCAATGAGAGGATTATTTTGCAGGAATGGTTTGAGATGCTTTTGTTTTCTGTGTCAAAACACACTCAAATGTACTGAAACTGACAACAACAAGCAGGCAATTTCTTTTAACACCAACTTTCGAGCAATCAATTCCAGACATTGATATATGTTTTGTATAAATTGTTCCCTTGTGCATCAATAGAGTTTGATTGAAGCATTAGATAACCTGATTATTTCTCTTAAAATAAACTGGATTTGATTTGTTAGGCACCAAAAAAGTGGATTTTTGTGCAGGAATGGCTTAAGATGTTACTGTTTTCTTGTGTTTAAACATTTTCAATGCATGGCAACCGAGTTGTATACATTTTAAGCCAATAGGCGGTGAATTTTTTTATTCTAAAAGGATAAAATCTCTTTAAAAACCAATGTAATCATTTGTGCTTATCAAATCTGAATAAATGACTTAGTAGTAGTGAAACTGCAATAACAACAGGAGAGTCGAGTGATTACAACTTGATTTGAATGGGGTTTTTAGGGATTAAATCACAGTTTCCTGTAAAAGTTCATCATAAAACAGAATCACTTTTGCAAAAGCTTTCTCTCATAATGTCAAGACCAGTGTTGGACGTAACTTTATGCTTCTTTAAACTTCACTCCACACGACTTCAGAGAACAATATAGTACTTTTTAGTCGTCTACATTAATGTGACGCCTATAGTCACAGTAACATTATATAAAGACGAGCTCAATGAGTGGGAAAATGTGAAAACCTGTCTAACAAGTGCTATTTACCAGAAGCAAGTAAACAGTTCAAGACATGCGGTGGCAGTTGGATAACTTTTTAACGAAAAAGATAAACAGACTTACTTCATGACTGGAAAAATAAATCCTGTGCAGAGTCCTCTAACAGCTTAGAAGGAACAAAGTGAAGTGTGTGTGTTGTGTGTGTTCATGTGTGTGTGTATGAATCAGCAGCAGCAGTAAGGTGTGGATTTGAAGTGTCTATTCAGAGGAAGAGTATTCGTACCTACCCTGTTGGCTGCACTGACAGATCTCATTCTGAAACAAGGCCCGCCCCTCTCTGCTCACCTGAGAGTTTCAGGTGTGAGAGCAGGTTTGTTTACGCTTTGAGCCTGAATACAACACAATATGAGCATGTTTGTATTTGTTTATTCAGTGCAGCTGCATGAATCATGTTACCTCCTGACAAACAGTACATTAGCTTTCAAAATTCAAAATGATCCTGCTAGAAAAGATGGATTACATGCAGTCAGAAGTTTGAGAGGAAAACTTTTTAATTTTTAAAGAGGCCCAATTAAGCTTTTTAGGGTTTTCTCTTTCCTGTAGTGTGTTATAGTTTGTGTGCATGTAAATGGTCTGCAAAGGCTAAAATCACTGTGTTCCCTTCAGAGGGAGTTTCTCTCCCACACACTCCCCCCCCGGCCTGAAACGCCTCCATTTGACTCCTTTGTTTGCTTCCTGAATTAAGTGACATCACTATATAAATCTCGCTCTTCTATTGGCTAGCGCTCCAGCACATTGTACGTGATAGGCTAATCTCTATGTGGTTGACCAATCACAACAGAGCCGGCCAGCTAACCAATCAGAGCAGACTGGGCTCTGGTTTCAGACAGAGGGTGAAAAGAGGTGCTGCAGCACAGGCAGTATGAGAAAAATAAAGAGCTTTTTGAACATTAAGCATGGAGACATGTCCCAGTAGAGACACTACATACTGATATACACCTGAACATCAGCAGGAGAGGACTCTTTAAAGTAGAGACACTACATACTGATATACACCTGAACATCAGCAGGAGAGGACTCTTTAAAGTAGAGACACTACATACTGATATACACCTGAACATCAGCAGGAGAGGACTCTTTAAAGTAGAGACACTACATACTGATATACACCTGAACATCAGCAGGAGAGGACTCTTTAAAGTAGAGACACTACATACTGATATACACCTGAACATCAGCAGGAGAGGACTCTTTAAAGTAGAGACACTACATACTGATATACACCTGAACATCAGCAGGAGAGGACTCTTTAAAGTAGAGACACTACATACTGATATACACCTGAACATCACCAGGAGAGGACTCTTTAAAGTAGAGACACTACATACTGATATACACCTGAACATCAGCAGGAGAGGACTCTTTAAAGTAGAGACACTACATACTGATATACACCTGAACATCAGCAGGAGAGGACTCTTTAAAGTAGAGACACTACATACTGATATACACCTGAAACATCATCAGGAGAGGACTCTTTAAAGTAGAGACACTACATACTGATATACACCTGAACATCATCAGGAGAGGACTCTTTAAAGTAGAGACACTACATACTGATATACACCTGAACATCAGCAGGAGAGGACTCTTTAAAGTAGAGACACTACATACTGATATACACCTGAACATCAGCAGGAGAGGACTCTTTAAAGTAGAGACACTACATACTGATATACACCTGAACATCAGCAGGAGAGGACTCTTTAAAGTAGAGACACTACATACTGATATACACCTGAACATCAGCAGGAGAGGACTCTTTAAAGTAGAGACACTACATACTGATATACACCTGAACATCAGCAGGAGAGGACTCTTTAAAGTAGAGACACTACATACTGATATACACCTGAACATCAGCAGGAGAGGACTCTTTAAAGTAGAGACACTACATACTGATATACACCTGAACATCAGCAGGAGAGGACTCTTTAAAGTAGAGGCACTACATACTGATATACACCTGAACATCAGCAGGAGAGGACTCTTTAAAGTAGAGACACTACATACTGATATACACCTGAACATCAGCAGGAGAGGACTCTTTAAAGTAGAGACACTACATACTGATATACACCTGGACATCAGCAGGAGAGGACTCTTTAAAGTAGAGACACTACATACTGATATACACCTGACATCAGCAGGAGAGGACTCTTTAAAGTAGAGACACTACATACTGATATACACCTGAACATCAGCAGGAGAGGACTCTTTAAAGTAGAGACACTACATACTGATATACACCTGAACATCAGCAGGAGAGGACTCTTAAAGTAGAGACACTACATACTGATATACACCTGAACATCAGCAGGAGAGGACTCTTTAAAGTAGAGACACTACATACTGATATACACCTGAACATCAGCAGGAGAGGACTCTTTAAAGTAGAGACACTACATACTGATATACACCTGAACATCAGCAGGAGAGGACTCTTTAAAGTAGAGACACTACATACTGATATACACCTGAACATCAGCAGGAGAGGACTCTTTAAAGTAGAGACACTACATACTGATATACACCTGAACATCAGCAGGAGAGGACTCTTTAAAGTAGAGACACTACATACTGATATACACCTGAACATCAGCAGGAGAGGACTCTTTAAAGTAGAGACACTACATACTGATATACACCTGAACATCAGCAGGAGAGGACTCTTTAAAGTAGAGACACTACATACTGATATACACCTGGACATCAGTAGTAGTAGTTTCTGTTGTAGATTGTTTTAAAATGTCTTAGGGGTAATATCACATTTTTAAGCAAGCTCACTCAATCCATTTTTAACTCCAGTTAGAGTTGTTGTGTTTTCATTTTGAAGTCCAATAAAGGGTTTGAACTGGCAGCCATTACCAGTGTGAATCACCCATTCATCCTGCAAAGGACGCACTGGTTTCTGTTGAGAGCAATTTGCAGCTTGGCAGGAGAAACCTTAATCTCCAAGAGAATTCAGACTTGACTGCAAATGATTGTTGAATATGTTCTCTAAGTGTAGGCACCTTTGAAATGTGATCAGGGAGTATCAGCTAAAGATAATGACTGACAGATCAGATCAGACTTCAATGGGATCAACTCAATATTTAGCTCCACATCGCACTGTTGTAATTCAATAATGATCGAAGGTCACTCACACTTTTCTGTACTTAAACACAAACTCAAAGTCTCAACATGGTTTCCCTGTCATGCTACTGTACACAGTGGGGATATACAGTATATAAAGTATTTCTAACACGCCATCTATCACTTCAAAACATACAGGAATTGGAGCCGTGGTGCATTCTGGGGCATGAAATATAAATGCCGTTACAAAGAGAAAACTCTGGGCCGAAACAGAGGGTTAATTAAAGAAATTATTGCTTAAAGGTGGGGTAGGTAATTTTGGAGAAACCAGCTCGAGTGCGCTAGAATTTGAAAATACACAGCCGGAGAAAATCTGCCACTTCCTTACAGAGCCCCTCCTCCAACACACACGAACGCGCACATGACCAATGAGGGCACGAGATAAGTTTGTGCACAGATGGAAGGCTGACAGGCAGGTAGGCCATCCAGTTATTTTAGCCGGGCCGGCTAAAATGATTGGTCGTGCTTTTTACAGTATTACGGCTTCCACAGATGACATGTTTGTATGGATTTTTTGTCAAAGCACTTAAGATATTCATTGCTATCGGGATGTTAAGAGCATTCCATGGAATATAACAAAAAGTGTATCTCGAGCCGGTTTCCCAAATGTACCTACCCCACCTTTAAATTAAGAGAAGTATGGGTGAATCACTTTTACTGATGTCGAGGCCTCTCTGGTGTTTGGAGTTAGTACCTTCACTTGTCAGTCATTTTAAAATATTTAATATTTAGAGATCCATGTAGTTTACAAACAGGCGGATATCTAAACCTTAAAATCTATAGGTTTAATGACAACTATACAATCATCTGGACAGAGTTTAAACCAATAAACCCTTCTTCCTTTTGGGGCAAAACTATCTCAAACGTCCTTATAAGAGCTAGAGAGATGAATAAGAGAGACGATATTAATCACAGAGACACAGAGAGGAGGTTGATAAGTAACGTTTATTGCTGTTTCAAAGCTTTGGGGGAAACACGACATGTTGAAGACACAGGGCAGGAAGACGTGACTATATTAACTCACAGGATCATCGTCAGCTGGTGAAGCTACCTGGGATAAAGGAGGACAACTTGAAACACCCCAGAGAGAAAACAAAAAATTATCTGGTATCTGGTGTTCATTTCCCACTCAGCTCTGTACCTGAAGACTCCCAGGTTATTTAGTTTAAAGGGTGATTTCCGTTTATTATAATTATGGTCTTATTTTGTTAGTTTTGGTCACCTTTTTTGTGGTTATGATACCTTTGTACTCAACAGGTAAACCGATAACACCTGGGAATACATCGCTAGAGAGACAATGGAGGAAACATGATTAAAAAACCCTGTATTTGGAGTAAACTTTTGGACTTTTATCCATCAAATAAGTGTGTTTACCCTGGATACTTGCGTACAGCCTGTGTTCCCTTACCTTCATGCCCTCTTTAAAGTGACTTAATAATGACCAAAGTTGTAATAAACTGGAATTATCCTTTAACATCCATAAGGCGTTCCACTATCGTTGCATAGTGGAAGGTGCAGCTTTGAAAAATCTACCCTGGTTTTACTTTTTTTTCTACGTTTTTTGCATCTTTTATCCCACTCAAAGCAGTTGAATGATATTAACATGAAAAGGGAATCTACTGTATGCTAGTAGCCACTGTTAAAGCCCCCCTCTCTTGTTTTATTATATATATCGTGCTCTCAGAAATGATAGAGCACTTATAGAAACAAGACTGTTAGAAGTGGAAGTGTTTATCCAGGCTTTTTACCAGTGACTACATAAACTTTAAAACCTCATGGTTTCACACTCATGCTACGAATCAGCGATGCTAACAGCAATCATTTCCCCCGCAGACTTCCCCACTTCCCTTTACTTCCTGGGAGGGGTGGGAGACTTCATGAATCTGGGTGGAGTTGGAGACTTCAAACCACGAGATGGAGTCGGAGTTGGAGATTTTGGGATGGGGGTAGAAGCGGGAGTGTTGGCTGGAGTCGGACTTTTCACGCCACGAGATGGAGTCGGAGATTTAGGGATCGGGGTAGAAGCAGGAGTAGAGGCGGGAGTCGGGCTCTTCATGGAGGCCGGGGTCTGGGATTTAGGGGTCGGAGTTGGGGGTTTTGGAGGGGAGGAGCGGGGGTAACAGCGGGGGTAACAGCGGGGGTAGCAGTGGGGTTTTTGGGTTGCCCCAGCTTGGGGCTCGGGGATCTTCTCTCCCTGCCGGTACACGCTGACGGTGATCTCCACGAACTCCCCGCCGTACTTGTTCCTCACGTTGATGCTGTACTTGCCGGAGTCGTCGGGCGTCACCTTGTTGATGACCATGCTGGCGAACTTGCCGCCCTCGAAGGTGACCCTGGTGTGCTCGTTGGAGGCCACTTCCTGCTCGTTCTTGAACCAGGAGACCTCGGGGGTCGGCTCGCCCCACACGGTGCAAGTCAGGCTCAGAGACTGGGAGGAGAGGGGGGGAAGATCAGGTCAAAATGTACTAAGAATGTCTGTCTTTTTAACACCACAACAACATTTCATTACCCCCTTAACCTGTCATTTTTAAACCCTATCGCAACAGCCGTCAGGCGCGACCTAGAAATATAATTGCTTCTGCTTTAATGGGGGTTTTCCCTTTCCTGTAGTGTGTTATATAGGTTTTAGTGCATGTAAATGGTCTGCAAAGGCTAAAATCCCTGTGTTTTCGAGTTTACCATGCCTCCATTGGACTCTTTGTTTACTTCCTGAACATAGTAACATCACTATGTAACACGTTTCCATTGGCTCGCGCTCCAACACATTGCATGTGATAGGCTAAGGGGCGGGACATCTCTAAGCGGTTGACCAATCACAACATAACCTAAAGAAGATTTTTTTCTTTTCTCAGACTTTTAAAAACATCTTATAAACAGCTGTTTGATCTTTACAAATGGAACTTATAATTGAAACTTGGTTGAGATGTGTTATTCTACACCAACCCAGACAAGTAATCCTAAACATGATTAAGCATTATAAAATCATAGAAGTTACAGAGCATGTCAGCAGATTATTCAAAGCTCAGCAGATGAAGACTTTGTGATATGGTCTACGCCTCTATTTTCTTTACAGCAATTTTTAAGATAATGATTAAACTACTAGTGTTCGTGCTTATACAGTCTAGTAGTCCTGAAACATCTTTATATAAAACCACAACCGCTTCTGAGCCTGCATGTCCTCAGCTGAAGGACAAACTCTGTGGATGAAGACTTTGTGATATTGTTTAAACTTCTAAAAGCTAGTCGGTTGACCTTGAGTTGGGATTTCTTTGTGAACCTATACAAATGTAAAGAGCCTTCATGTCTAGCCTCCAAACAGGAGACGCGACGGGTCATAAATCTTATTTAACATTTTGTTCCAACACCTGCTTCCTGTAGGAATGCTGACAGGGCAGTAAAACTCCTCGACCCCCCCTCACTGATACTGGTGGCTGTAATGATGTACTCAAAACACCTCAACATATACTAATATCATATTTTATATTATTAACATATGTTTCCTCACCTTCTCTTCCATAATGGTGACAACATCAGGCAGACCACCCACCACTCTGCCGCGGTCTGAGGAGAGACAACAACATATATGTTACCTCTCAAATTAATACTTACCTTAATAAAGGGTTTATTCGTCCTTAATGATCAGTCGTGAGTCTACAGGAGTACATCATCTCTCAGTGTCAGGAGGATAAATAGCGATATACTCACTCTTCTCAGCAAATGCAGCGGACCTAAAAGATAAAAGAATACGGCATGGTTAGGATTGAAATTAGAAATACATTAAAATAGATTCTGTAGTGGTCAATAACTCACTTCAGTCTCAGGTACTCCTCATAGGCATCGGTGTATGCTGCAGAGAGAAACATTAGATCATGATTTAACAAAGCCAAGGAAGGAACAATTACTCCCAAATATATAGAAGGTATAACAAAAAAGATACCAAATCAAAAATGGATTTAAATGAAAATAAAAATACAATCAGATTAAAATAAATTGAGTGGAACAGATGTGATTTTTTAAGGTGATAGATGTGATTTTAATGTATTTATTATATAACAGATGTGATTTTAATGTATTTATTATATAACAGATGTGGATTTTAATGTATTTATTATATAACAGATGTAATTTTAATGTATTTATTATATAACAGATCTGATTTAATGTATTTATTATATAACAGATGTGATTTTAATGTATTTATTATACACAGATGTGATTTTAATGTATTTATTATATAACAGATGTGATTTTAATGTATTTTATTCAGATTAACAGATGTGATTTTAATGTATTTATTATACACAGATGTGATTTTAATGTATTTATTATACAACAGATGTGATTTTAATGTATTTATTATACAACAGATGTGATTTTAATGTATTTATTATACAACAGATGTGATTTAATGTATTTATTATATAACAGATGTGATTTTAATGTATTTATTATACAACAGATGTGATTTTAATGTATTTATTATATAACAGATGTGTATTTTAATGTATTTATTATATAACAGATGTGATTTTAATGTATGTATTATACCAACAGATGTGATTTTAATGTATTTATTATATAACAGATGTGATTTTAATGTATTTATTATACAACAGATGTGATTTTAATGTATTTATTATACAACAGATGTGATTTTAATGTATTTATTATATAACAGATGTGATTTTAATGTATTTATTATATAACAGATGTGATTTTAATGTATTTATTATATAACAGATGTGATTTTAATGTATTTATTATATAACAGATGTGATTTTAATGTATTTATTATACAACAGATGTGATTTTAATGTATTTATTATATAACAGATGTGATTTGAATGTATTTATTATACAACAGATGTGATTTTAATGTATTTATTATATAACAGATGTGATTTGAATGTATTTATTATACAACAGATGTGATTTTAATGTATTTATTATACAACAGATGTGATTTCCTCACCCTGTCCGGAGAGGTCGAAGGTCCTGGTGTGGGTCTGCACGCCGTCGGAGATCTCGATGGAGTATTTTCCTTTCTCCTTATCGGACGGATCACAGATCTGCATCCACGCCATCTCCGCTGTTCCTCCGATCCTCATCTTCTCAGAGGAGGCGATCTTACTCTCCCTGCAACCGTTACAGAAAGAAATCAGAGGGGGAACGTCTCAAAACAGAAACTAAAAACATAATACGGTGCAGAAGCTGCTGTCGGCACAAAGAACGTAGATACAACTCCAAAACTGTGGAACATCCTACCAAATGATTAGACATTTAAGACGCATAAGAGACAGCTGAAAACACACTTCTTCAACCTAGATTTAAATTGGCAATATCCCCGTCTGTTGGTTTTTCTTTATTACGTTTTTTGTTTGTTTATTTACCTTCTTGTATTCTATGAAATCATGCATCATGGACGCCAATATCAGAATTTTCTTTATTAGTGCTTTCATTATAATAATAACATAAGCACGGCAGGTCCATCTACCGAGTTGAAAGTGTGTAGAGGAATATCATTGTAGAGTGTTTCTCACTGCAGCTTAATTAGTGAGCGCAGCATTTTCTGACTGTGATTACATCGTCTGAGGTATTTCTCTCTGACAGCTGACAGCTCTGGATGTGAGTTATTGGAGTGAAACCAGAACGACGACATGCATTTAACGCTTTAGTTTGAAGTTACAGTCGGTAAAAACCAACCAATCAGAGCCAATTAGTCTGTAATGCAGAGTCAATCATAACATATCTCACTCTACAGCCAAACAGAACACTTCAATATGCTTCTGACATCATTTTAGGGGAGAAACAGGCCATGAATTTACTGAATCCTGGTTTGATACTTGATGTCTTTAAATGTCTTTTTTAGATATCCACTTTAATATGATATAAAACAGAGAAAAGCAGGAAATCTCCATAATTAGCCGGTTTAACATCAAATAGTTCCTGTTTATTTTCATGTAGGTCAACGTATTCATTATTTGGCTACTTGTTGCAGCTCTACTTCACAAACAAACCACTTAAGGGTTAGGAATAGCATGTTTACACTAATAACAGTTTTGTAGTAGTTACATTTCCACTGTCAAATGTAATATTTGAATCCTGTACACATGTTAAGTTCTAGGTGGAGTTGAGTTAAGTATTTTAATTGAACTGTACTTGTGTTTCCAGGAGGTCTTCATCTCCTCTGTGTAGTAGTTCATGTAGCACTGCAGCCTGATGCCCTCTGGTGTGCACTGAAGCACCAGCTCAGAGGCAGAGGCACCTGAACACACACACACACACACACACACACACACACACACACACACACACACACACACACACACACACACAACACACACACACACACACACACACACACACACACACACACACCACACACACACACACACCACATCACACACACAACACACACACACACACACACACACCACACACACAAAATAAATAAAATACTCGTTAGAATATGGTTTGTATTACAAGCACTTCTACCACCAAAACATATACTTTAAAAAGAAAAAAGAAACTTCCTCGGGCTGTCTCCTCTCACCGTGAAAAGGTTTAGTAATTTTTTTTAGGTCAAACCTTCAGGCTGAATGAACGTACAGCTGCATGAAGGCATTACAGGTATTTACTGAAAACCCTGAGGCCATAAGAGCCCTTTACTGTAAATGTCTGGAATCATATTTGCATGGTTTGTACGGTGAAACACACTCCTCCTGTCACACACACTGTTTGTGAATCAGCTGATCAGACTCACCTGCATTCTGGGCGAGGGCGTTGATGATGTCGTCAAACACTGTAGATGAAAGAAGGACACAAAACAAATTATATTATACGTTTATATATAATAACCAACACTGAAGTAAGTGACTGAGTTTGAACAATGAGACGTACCTTGTCCTGAGATGACGAAGCTGGATGAATCCTTTCCTCTGTCGTCACTGAGCACCGCCTTGTACACGCCCTGATCCGTCCTGGAGAACTGAAGATAACACAAAGAATATCAAGCAGAAGAATATTACAAACATTTTCATATTTGAGAACAAAACGCACAATTACTGCGAATTGTAAGATAAATAACACCTTGATCAATTGTCTTAAACGCTTACTAAGACAGCATTTGTTATCATGCATTCCCCATTAAGTGATTTAATACCCGGATAAAGTAAGTATCTATCTGTTTACCAGAGGGATGGATAAGTAAGTTCTATTTACCAGAGGGATGGATAAAGTAAGTATCTATGTATTTACCAGAGGGATGGATAAAGTAAGTATCTATTTACCAGAGAGATAGATAAAGTAAGTATCTATGTATTTACCAGAGGGATGGCGAGAGCACAGGCTCCAGACATGACGTTGGGAGGAGTTTCTGGAACAATCTCATCGTCCTCTTTGTACCAGTGGAAGGACGTCTCCTTCTTCACATTAGCCACCTGACAGGAAACACCAGCATTAGTTTCATAGAGAGAGAGAAGTGAGGGGAAAGGTCAAAGAGTGAGAGTTTAAGTGTTACCTTGCAGGCGAGCAGCACAGTGCAGTCCTCAGTGACGCTGAAGGACAGATACTCAGAGAAATGAGGACCTGGAAGGAGGAAGAGGAGTCAGGTACATTTGAGTTTTATCAGGAAAAGGACATCTTTAAGGCAATAAAAGACTGTTCAAAGGAAATACATATCAGAAGAAATCAATAAAGGCTCTCTGATAAAAGTATCATTGAAGAGACTTAATGACTGTATCGACCTGATTATGCATTTGAGTCTGAATTGAAATACACAGAGATGAGACCAGACTTAAGTTGAATACTCAATTAGAAAAACAGTAACTTGCCCTCTTGCCTGTGGCTTAATTTAAACAGTTTTTTGAGCCCTCCTGCCTAAGAACAAACAATTGAGATTGAAAAACCTCTCCCAGCACAACACCTTTGGATACGCAATAAACTCTGATTAGGAGTGTGTTAAAGCCCCGCCACACGAGGACGATAACGGTAACGTACCGCAATCGTTATCAAAAAAGTCTTCCGGCCACACGCAACAGGGCACCAGAAAACGTGTCCGTTCACACGAGACCGCTCGAAAGCGCTGGAGACGCTGTAGTACATATGCCGGGCCTGTAAGTGGCGCTGTACTCCTGCCACAAAAGCAGCGAAGAAGACTTCCCGCGCATGGTTGCCATGGTTGCCCTCTGCGTTATTCTCCGCTCTGGCTCTTTTCTCCCTCCCCGAGGCAAGCTGTGCTCCTGCTGTAATTCTCTCCGGTTAGTCCACCAGCAGATGACAACACCCAACTCTCCGCCTCTTCCAAGGAACGAGGGGGGACCGTGCGGCGAGTTTCAGTTAGATTTTTTTTCGCCGGTCAACATGTCCGTTAAAGTTTAAATCTTCCGGACAAAATTAGAAAAGTGCCGGTCAAAGGTCTTCTTTGTTATTTATTGAGCTTAAAAACAAATTGATAACGACTCTATATAATAATATAATAATAAAAAACGGAGCCTCTCTTTTCCTCCCCCTCTTCTGACAGCCCAGCAGCTGATCTCTGAGCAGGAGAGGCGGGGAGAGGCGGGGCTATTGCTTCAACGTTATCAGGTAATGATCGTATAGGTGTAAACACGGAGCCGTTTCCCCCCCCCAGAGCGTTTCGTTTGCAGATCTACCCACCTTGATTGATTGATTGAAAAGTTTATTAACAGCTTGTATATTGGGTACAGTACAGTACAGCTCAAAACATACAATTGTTAAGGGGATGCAGACCAGAGAAGACTTTCGTCTTGTTTACATCAGGGTCCCCCATTTCCAATTCATCATATCATTTAAGACATATAAGACATATTTGACATACAGATGGCTTATTTACAATTTACATACAGGTGGTTTTTACATACAGATGGCTTATTTACAATTTTCATTTTAGATTTCGTTCTAATACATCCTAACCGGACATTTAAGACATACCAAGTCTACAGATATACAGTTAGTAACAGAGTCTAAAATGCGAGTATATACATAGATGGGGGGGGGGAAGCTGTCCATTGTACGACAGGTTGAGATTTGTACCATTACCGGGGCCAGTTTTGCAATGCTTTCCCCCGAAGGTGCTCTTTAAGAGAGGTTTTTGAAGGTAAGTATAGTTTTACTTTCCTTTACAGTTGTGGGAAGAGCGTTCCACCTTGATGTTGCATAATTGCGAAACGTGTATCCCCTTTTTTTGTGCCAAATCTGGGTTTTACATGATTTGTGGAGCTCCCTCTGGTGTTATGATCATGGTATTCCTTGACCTTTGGGAAGAATTTGACATGTACATGGGTACCATAGAGGTGTAGTGGATCTTGTAGACCAGGCCCATTGCAAGTAGCTGTACTCTGTCGTCTACTCTAAGCCATCCTAGGTTGTCAAAGTGGGCAGAGGTTGAGGGTGGGTTCTAGATGAAAGGTCAAGCAGTAGTCTGACCAGTTTATTTTGCGATGTTTGAAGTTTTATTTTTAGCGCCTTGGAGGTGCTATGGTACCATGACGTGCAAGCATAGTCATAGTACCCTTGAATGAGTGCTCCTGCCAGAGTTTTCAGGGTGTTTTTGTTTACCAGAGAGGAGATCCGGGTATAGGAATCTAGTTCTTTGATTGACTTTTTTTTATTACATTGGATGCCATTTTTGTCACAGGAGAGGTTGCCTCAAGAATAGATCCTAGGTATGTAATTTCCTTCTTACTTGTGACAATAATGTCACCCACTGCAAACTGAGAAGTCGTCGGATTTGCTGAGATTATGTTTCGAACCGAAGAGAATGGACTCTGTTTTACCCAGGTGTAATGATAATTTATTATCGGCGAGCCAGGTGCAGATTCTGCCGAGCTCGGAGCTGAGGGTTTTTTTCAACCTGCAATCTGCTCCTGTCAGAGACCAGCAGGGCTGAGTCGTCCGCGAACAGGAACAAGTTGCAGTCACATGCTGATGGACATGTCATTTGCATAAATTAGGAACAGTTAACGGACCTAATATGCCTTCCTTGTGGAACACCACAGCTCACTGGGAGGGGGGGGGGACAGAGTACCGTTTACCTCCACCATCGTTCTCTCCCCTCCAGGTAGGATTGCATCCCAGCTCACCGATAGTTTATCAAAACCAATTGCTTTTAGCTTGTCAATCAGAATGGGGTGATTGACAGTGTCGAAAGCCTTTTGTAGGTCCAGCATCACCATGGCCGCAGTAATTTACCCTCGTCCACCTCTTGTTTGATGTGGTCGTTCAAATAAAGAAGGCATGTGTCAGTGGAGTGGGATGTTCTAAAGCCAGATTGAAATTCATAGATTAGTTTTCTTTTCTGCGAGGTACTTTTCGACCTGTTCATATACTATTTTTTTCCATGACTTTCGAGATGGGAGGTTAAGTATAGAAACAGGGCGGTAGTTTGCCTGGGGTCCCAATTTGCTGCCCTTTTTGTGCAGGGGGGGTTACTCTTGCAATTTTGAAGTCTTTGGGTACTTTTCCCTTCCCTGTTTTATGGAGAGGTTAATTATGTGAGCTATGACTGGTGAGATGGGGTTGCTGTGTCTCTGAGGAATTTGGAGGGGATATTGTCGTGGCCAGTGGCCTTGTTAGGTTGAGGGCGCTCAGTTTAATGAGTACCTCTGCTGTTGTTTACCCTTGCTAGACTGAAATCATCTTTGGCGTACCCCTAGGTTTTTGTAGTAGGGTCATGATGTGATCTACTCCAAAAAGCCCTGAGTGGGAGGGTAATTTATTTACAAGAGTTGTGGCTATGTTTGTGAAAAAAAATGTTCAAGTACTTGGCCACATCCAGTTTGTCTGTGATGAGCCTGTTATCTGTCTTTATGTTTACGTTTGAAAATCTCGTTTTGAGTTTTTTACTGCAGCCAAGCTGGTTATTGAGTAATTTCCAAAGTTCACGGGGTTTATTTTTGTTTTCCTCAGTTTTGTCATTGATGAAATTCTTTTTGGCAGTTTTGATCATGGAGCTTACGTCATTTCTTAGTCTGTTTCTTTCAATTTTTAGTTCAGTCACGTGGGCCTGGAGTTCACTGCTCGTGCTTTTGGAAAGCATTGACTGACTTTTATGAAACTCAGAGCATTTTTTGTCTCTGGTTTTCATGGTGGTCAGTAATGCCGGAGTGCATCCACGGCTCAGCGCGATTTTTTACCCTGGTTGTTCTTAGGGGGGCCAAATCATTGAGTATTGCAGAGAATTTGTTTTTGAAACCAAGCCATGTTTCTTCAACTTGTGTACCACTGAGCTCATCTGACCAGTCCAGGCTCTCCAGTTCTAGGTTAAAGGCCTCGCTAGAGTAGTTTTTTGATGGTCTCTAGATATGACCTGTTTTGTGACAGCCGGCCTTTGTTTTAGCTTTTTGCGGGTACAGAATATCATATAATGATCACTTAAACCGCATGCCTATAACCCCTTTACTGGAGATCCTGGACCTGTCAGAGGTCAGAATGAGATCAATGGTAGTTTGTGTTGTTTCACATACCCGGGTGGGTTGGGTGATTAGCTGGCTGAAGCCGTGCAGATCACAAATCCTACTGAAGGACTTGAAGACGGACGTGTCTTTACGTTGCATATCCGTGTTCCAGTCTCCAATAATAATTGTCTCTACATCCCCCACATCAGCCAAACACCCATCTAATGTATCATAAAAGTCACTCTGTTCCGGTGGTCTATAGATTGTCCCGACTATTACAGATTTAGCATTGTCAAAAAGAATTTCAACCCACACAGATTCAATATTTTCATGATGCAGGTCAGTACGGTTTTTGAAATTGGTGTCTTTATGTATGTACATGCAGACACCACCTCCATTCACGTTCCTGTCCCTTCTCACTACAAGATAATCTTCAATTTCAATCTCTGAATCTGTAATGGAATTGTCCAATTTGGTCTCAGAAAAGCATAATATGCTTGCCTTACCGTTCATGAACAGTTGCCTGAGTTCAGCCAGTTTGTGTCTCAGGCTGTTAGTGTTCAGATGAAAAATATGTAGTCCATTTTTGTTGTTTAAATGCATAATGTCGTCAGCTTGAAGATATTTGTCTTTGTCCGTTACAGCAAACGGCTTGCGGCCTGCCGTGGTGCTTGGAGCGGTGGGGTGGTGGGGGGAGGGAGGCTCCGTTGTAGCTTTAGCCGTCGATATGCTAGCAGGGTGGCTAACAACATGGTGGATATTTGTTCCCTCGGATCTCGGTTCTCTTCCTCTCCTCTCTCTCTCTACCTAGGGACCTGTTATCGTTATCATTATCGTTTTCTGCGTTTCCGTGTGCCTCGTGTGGGCGAACCGTCTATCTGATAGTGAACTGCAGCAGATACGACCGTTATCGTCCTCGTGTGGCCGGGGCTTAAGAAAAGAGCTTTTGTTTGTGTAAGTGTGAAGTGCTTCCAGGTCTGAATGTGTGTTACCTTGCTTCCTGATGTGCTCCTTCCTCTGAAACTCGGCCTCCTTCAGAGCAGCTTTGAACACTGAAACAGGAGAACATTCAAACATCATTAAACACGTTAAGTGATTAAATAAGTAACAGACACTCAGGGTAAAATTACTTCACTTAAAATCGTACCTAACTTGTACTAAAGCACTAGCAGGAAGTACTCATAAGACAACAGTATGACCCTGTTATTCTAAAATTATATTATTTGATTATTCTTACATATGCAATACTGTGAGAGCAGCATTTTTATGTTTTGCTGCAAAAATTAAGATCATTTTAGCGTGCCAGAAGAAAAACAACTGTTGTTCAAAAAAGATTTGGACACAAAAAAATTGACGTTTACTCCAAAAAAGTTAATAATTCCACATAAATCATATAGGAATTCCTCTCCGATATTGTCACGTACTAAACCATGACGCTTATCTGAAACATTACTTTGTACCAGAATAATTCAGCTAATATTCCTCAGTAATGTGAGGGGAGAGGATCCTCACCGTCTCCCACCTAGCCACCAGGGAGCTCTGGTTCTTGGCCTTTCTCGTCGTGGATCTGAACGACGTACGTTCCCTCGTTGGCTCGAGTGAAATGATCCACCGTTATCTGGATCAGTCCTTGTGGCGACGTCGTGACTGATCTTAATTCCCTGAGAGGTTAAACAAGAAAATATATTTACAATACCCAAAGAATTATGTTCAAATGAGCTTATTCATCAATGATATTTTGGTGTTTGATACTTTAAAATGAGTGTTACTCTTCTTGCACTGATGTACATTCCCAAAGATATTGAAGTGACTGTTGTTTTGTATATATTGATTGTTGTGTTTTTATCTTAATGTGTGCATATGTATAAATGTGTCTGTTGATTGTATAGGATATACATTTTTTTTTTTCTCTGTCTATACACACAAACTGAAAGATTGACAATAAAGTTGACTTTGACTTTTGACTTGAACTAGTGCTAATAAAATGACCACTCAGTTTAAAACAACATATTATTTTGGAAGCTTAGTCAGTATTGTTGTTGAAGAAGTGTTTCACCTCTCCAGATTTGACCTCCTGTCGTTAACGATGGACTCTGTAGGACACGGAGGGCGACAGTTTGGCGGCCTGCAGCCAGAAACGCACGTGACCCTTCTCCAGGATCTCGTAATCCAGACCGTGTTTCAGAGGAACGACTAAACACACACACACACCACACACACACACACACACACACACACACACACACACACACACACACACACACACACACACACACACCACACACACACACACACACACACACCACACACACACCACACACACACACACACACACACACACACACACACACACACACACCACACACACACACACACACACACACCACAGAGACACACACACACACAGATACACAAACAGAGACACAAACATTTAATCCTTAGTGAATACTGCTCAATTAAAGGTCCCCTATTATACTGTTTTCATCAATATATTATCGGTCTCAGATATATATAAACATGTCACCAAACAGATCATTACAGCATCCCATAATCCCCTCTGTTTCAGCCCTGTTTCTAAAGTGCTGATTCTCTGTCTGTTACTTTAGATGAAAATAAGGAGCCACATCCCCACGCCCCTCTGAGAGATATTTGGTTAAAAATAACACCGCTTTCACACCAAGTACTTTTGCTCGTACTAGTTCCCAGCACTTAGTACCCCCATGGAACTAAAGAGCAGATCGCGTTCACACCAGAATAAGTTCCCTGAGGGAAGATTACGCAAATGAAGCCGCTGACGTCACTTCTCTTCTTCTTCTGCTTTGGGTTTACTGCGGACGGCCGCAAACCACTTCACGGCGTATACTGCCACCCGAAGTCCCCGCCGGAAGTCCCCGGAGTTGGGGACTGCTTCAGTAGAAGCTGCTGGGACTCCCAGCAGCTTCTACTGAAGCCTTCCGAGTAAATCGCCAGAACGCCGACACCTCCTCATCTCCACCGCTCCCATGTTTTCTTTTGTGTTGCCATAAGTTAGTCTCTCTCCGTTGGTGCGCGGGGCTAATGCTAATGCTAATAATGCTAATGCCAGCAAATACAATGGCGGCTTCACATAACCTTTCAGAGTTTTACGGGGCGTGGTTTGCAATTCGCCCAGCCAATCAGAAATGATACTTTTTTCTCCCAGGAAAGTCCCACCTCTCTAGCAGGCCACTAAACATGGGGGTAAAAGTTCTCTGAACTAAGTTCTCTTTTTGGTGTGAACGCAAAATTCCTGGCACGAACGGAACTAAACGGGAAAAGTACGGGTAAAAGTACTCCGGTATGAACGCGCCTAATGGTGCTCTAGGAGGATATTCAGGTGATAAGGTGGGGGGGGGGTTACCTTGGTTGCTGATTGGCTAATGGTTACACAAGCCAAAACATCGTTATGACATCATAAAGTGGCCAAAATCTGATCAGCTCATTTTCAGACAGGTTTTTATATAAATGGATCAGGAGAAAAAGAGAGAGAGAATCTTTCAGAATCTATTTCCACAGAGGGGACACATGTTGATGTAGAAGAGACATGAAGAAGAGGGGACACATGTTGATGTAGAAGAGACATGAAGAATAGGGGACACATGTTGATGTAGAAGAGACATGAAGAAGAGGGGACACATGTTGATGTAGAAGAGACATGAAGAAGAGGGGACACATGTTGATGTAGAAGAGACGTGAACAAGTGGATTTTGCATAATAGGTGACCTTTAAGTTATAATTTATACATAAAATCTTCTACGTTGAAACATGTAATGCAATCAGAACTCACTTGGATGTCTGATGGCGTAGCTGAGCTCCAGCATGGTGTTCAGAGCTGTAGCACGGAGAAAGGACAACAAATATGAGTTAAAAACAATAAAACAATAATAAATCTTAAGAAGGGAAAGTGTAAAAAAGACCCACCGTCCTCAGTCAGAGTGTGGCTGGAAGAGACTCCGTCTGTGTCAGTGACGACCACAGAGTATCTGCCCAGATCATCTTTATCCGGGTTGGAGAAAGTCAGTTTGGAGCTGAAAACAGAAAACAAGCCCTCTATTAAATATCCAGTAAAGTCAACACAGTTATTAGCTTCAACTGTACAGGAACACTGGAGAGAAATCACTCATGTGAAACATCACTGAAGAGGAAATGGTGTCTCCTCTCTCTGACACACACTTCTTGCACTATTTCTATTTTATTTGTATTTACTTGCACATCTCAAAACATTCTCTTGCACTATTGTGTCTGTTTTACTGTTCAATCTCAATCTCAATCTTTATTTATTTATATACTGTAGCACATTTAAAACAACCTTCAGTTGACCAAAGTGCTGTACAGGCAATAAATATTAAATAACACAATGGAAGTACAATAATAAAACAATAATTAAAAACATGATAAAAGCACAATAACTAGAAAAATATTTTAAAAAACACAAACAAATGTAAAAATGTAATGTTCAACTCGTATTAAAAGCCAGTGTAAAGAGGTGAGTTTTTAGCTGAGATTTAAAAAGTTCAATAGACTCAGCTGTCCGGATATGCACTGGGAGGCTGTTCCACAGTCTGGGAGCTGCAACACTGAAAGCCCTGTCACCTCGGGTGTTTTTCCTGCACCGAGGAACCACCAACATATTTTGCTGAGCTGATTGCAATGCTCTAGCTGGAGCATGGCGGTGGCAACAACTCAGGCAGGTAATGTGGTGCCAGTCCATGCAATGATTTTAAAAACAACAAGTAAGTACTTGAACTGGATCCTGTAACTGACAGGAAGCCAATGAAGATCAGCCAAAACGGGGGTGATGTGGGTCATAACGTCTCTTCCCAGTAAGAAGGCGTGCAGCCGCATTTTGGACCAGCTGCAGGCGACGGATCAAACACTTATCAACACCAATATAGAGGGAGTTACAGTAGTCTAAGCGAGACGTTATAAATAGGTGGATTAGCTGTTCAAATTCCTTACTAGGAAGATAGGCCTTTACCTTCCCCAGAAGCCGCAGCTGGAAGAAGCTTGTCTTTACAACTGAGCTTATTTGTTTGTCGAATTTAAAACAGTTGTCAAAGATTACTCCAAGATTTCTGACAGAGGGACGGCTGTAGGAGGCTAAGGGGCAGAGGACACTATTAAATCCATCCACGAGTTCAGACTGTCCAAATATTATAATCTCTGTCTTGTTTTCGTTGAGAGTCAAGAAGTTGATTTCCATCCATGATTGTATGTCTTTCAGACAGCTAAGCAAGGCAATCCTAGATTCCTTATTTGCTTTTATAGGCAGGTATACCTGCAGATCATCTGCAAAGCAATGGTAAGAAATGTTATGCTTTTTAAAAATTGACCCCAGAGGTAGTAAATACAGACTGAACAAAATGGGGCCTAGGATAGAACCTTGAGGGACCCCATATGCTAGTGGGGCTGCAGCTGAAGAATACTGGCCAAGATGCACAGAAAAGGTCCTTTCTGACAGAGAGGATTGAAACCTGTTCTATGTCCTAGACAGAGGTGGGAAGTAGTGGAGTACAAATACTTTGTTACTGTACTTACTTAAGTACATGTTTCTGGTATCAGTACTTTACTGCACTACTTATTTTCTGACGGCTTTTTACTTTGACTTCTTACATTTTGAACCCAAATACCTGTACTTTCTACTTCTTACATTTTGAACACAAATACCTGTACTTTCTACTTCTTACATTTCTAACCCAAATACCTGTACTTTCTACTTCTTACATTTTGAACACAAATACCTGTACTTTCTACTTCTTACATGTTGAACACAAATACCTGTACTTTCTACTTCTTACACTTTGAACCCAAATACCTGTACTTTCTACTTCTTACATTTTGAACACAAATACCTGTACTTTCTACTTCTTACATTTCCCAAACAGGCTGGTTCCTTTAGTTTGAATGTGTGTTTGGTGGCGTGATCATTATTATTTAGAGTCATTGCGTGCCTATTGATTTGAACACGATCCGTGTATCCATCATTTCCTGGTCTTCTCTAAAGAAGAGGGACCAATGAAAACGTTGTCATGTTGCCGTTGTTCAGCATGGAAACATTCATTAGCTAACAATGACATTATTGTTCTATTAATATAAAGGGAGGTCAGGTACTCTTTAAAACAGCTGCTAGTTATGGGTACTTTTTACTTAAGTACATTTCAAAGCCCTCTTTACTTTTACTTGAGTAAAGAAGTTTAGTCAGTACTTCTACTTTCACCAGAGTATTTTTAAACACGAGTATCTGTACTTCTACTTAAGTATAGGATGTGTGTACTTTTACCATCTCTGGTCCTATATATATTCATGTTGCTCTGTTGGAGGAGCCTGTGACTTCAGTTTTTCATTGCCATATCTACACTGTAGCTAATGTGCACATGACAATAAAGCCTTGAAACCTGAAACCTGAGCTGCTCCTGAAGCCTCTGTGTTTGTGTTGAATAATCGCAGCTAACTCACGTTCTGCCCTTGTTGGAGATGGCGACTCTGGGACAGTCTCCGATGGCTTTGTAGTTCTTGGACCAGACGAACTTGGAGGTCTCTGAGATCTCGCAGGCCTCCAGAGACAGGAACACGTCTCCGGTCTCCTCGTCCACGCTGGCCACGATCTCCTGAGTGCCTGTCAACACACATCACATCTTAAAACGACCTAAATATAACACTGAGTCTCAGGGCCACATTCAGCAAACATGTATTGTGAGGTGAGTTGGGTATGTATTTGCACCTCAGCTAGTTGAGCCAAGATACAGCTGTTTCAAACTATTCTACTTAGAAATGCAATATATGGAAATTAAGTTGTGCAAACAAGACGACCAATTCATCAACAAGTTCTATCAAAGTTAGACGGCCATGTTTAAAAAATAAATAGGCAGTGATTTCAAATCCAAAGTCTTTTCACTTTATTCCTAGGAAATATTTAGTCTACTAGTGTAACGTCCGAGGTGTTCAAGAATACTGCTGTGTAACAAAAACTCAGGAACTTAGTACTTTTTGGAGCGTCACAGATAGCGCCTCCATTTATTTCTCGTCGAGTCACACCACACTCTCTTTCACCACTCCAGGACAGACTGCACATGCTCACAACACATGACCTCTCAACCCAATGCTTACACTAGTATATATTAAATTGCTCGTTTAAAGGTAGGGTAGTTAAGAATGGAGAAACCAGCTAGAATTTGAAAATACACAACCGGAAAAAATCTGCCCCTTCCTTCAGACTTCCTTACAGAGCCCCTCCTCAAACACACACGAACGCGCACATGACCAATGAGGGCACGAGATAAGTTTGTGCACAGATGGAAGGCTGACAGGCAGGTAGGCCATCCAGTTATTTTAGCCGGGCCGGCTCAGATGATTGGTCGTGCTTTTTACAGCGCCACGGCTTCCACAGATTACATTTTTGTATGTATTTATTGTCAAAGCATTTAATGTATTCATTGCTATCGGGATGTTAAGAGCATTCCATGGAATATAACAAAAAGTGTTTCTGAAGTGAATTACCTACCCCACCTTTAAATTAGCTTTAATTTGAAGTCCAATTATTATTTTTTTAAACATAATCAATTAAGTTGACTTGACAAAGTGTGCAATAATTCTAATTTACAGCATTGATTCATTTAATTGACATTTATATGGGGATTCATTTGGAGGGATGTCAGTCCAAAACTGCTGTTTCTGAATATTTTGATACATTTCTCTCCAATATTTGAAATGTGTTTGTTTCAAAATGAATAATTTCTGTATTTGAAATTTGCTCTTTAATTTTTAATTCTACTATTTCACATTTAGTACAGACAATTTAATCATCCGACAAACAAACACAATTAGTAGAAGCGGGAGGGCAGAAAGCATAGCTCATACAAAATAGCCCTCCATATGTAAGACATTTAACATCATTGTTATTTCATCAATATCAATCAGCAGCTACATTCATATCTGATATAACCTCATGCATCGGGGATCAGAGACCTACTCCCCTCACATGTCAGCAAGGGTTTAGTTAAAATAAAAGGTGCGTCGCAGATTAAATACAAAGCAGTGAGTGTTGTTTGGTATTTGTTACCTGGCAGAGCTTTGGCACAGACGGGCTCAGAAAGCTGGGAAGGTTTCCCGACTCCGTTAGCGTTCACCGAGCGAACTCTGAACACGTAGGTTTCTCCTTCCTGCAGACCGCTCACCTGCAGCGACAGAGAGACGAGATGCAAAGGGTTTAATGTCATATGCACATAAGACATGGCTGCCGTGTCTTTTGCTCCTCTCCAACTCTGCCTTTATTCACTTTATTTCAGTGTTTGTCTACTTCTCGTTGTGTGCTTTTAACTTTGTCCGCAACATGAGCACTACTTTTTATGTTTGTATTTTATTATATATGTTGCATTGTTGGAGGAGCTCAGGTCAGAGGAAATTCATTGGCATTTCTACACTGTAGCTTATGTGCATCTGACAATAACACCTTTGAACCTTGAACCTTGAAGCGACAGTGTATACATTGAATTTAAATAGAGTTATTTCATACACATTATAGAATCCAAATTCCCCCGATAAAAACTAGTGTTCAGATTATGATAACACTAATGTATTCATTCAGGGTTTCCACTAACTGCAAACTGTTAAAGCCTTTGATTAAACTTGTGTTTCTTTTTTCTATTACGCCTCTTGCAGCACTTTGGGATGACTTTTAGCAATGAAAGGTGCTTTACCAATAACATTTATTATTATTATTATTATGAAAGGTCAGTATGACCTCAGGTGTTTCCTACCTGCAGGTACCGGTGGCTCACAGCTTCCTCGTTCAGAGTCACAAACTCTGAGGATCCCTTCTTGGCCATCTCCACCTGATACCCAGACACAGCGCTGGCCCCGATGTACACCGGAGCTTTCCACAGGACGACCAGGGAGTGACCTCTGACCTCACTGAAGCTCAGGTCGTACGCCGGGCCTGGAGGGCAAGTACAAATGATTATAACAATGTCATTAAACACTATGAACATTTTGAAATAAAGTTCATATGATATATAGCCATCTGAAGGTAAATTATAAATAGTGGTGGTCTAATGGATAGTTAGGTGGGCTGAAGATCGGAAGGTTGTGAGTTCAAACCCGCCAGGAACACCACCACTAGTGTGCCCTTGAGTAAGGCACTTAGTCCTTAGTTACTCCAGGGAGAATGTCCCTGTAATTGGTAACTGTAAGTCGCTTTGGATAAAAGCGTCAGCTAAATGAAATGTAATGTAATAAATAATTATAACAAAGTAATTAAACTCTAAATGGAAGGAATATGGAAATACATGATATGGAAAGCAAGAAATACATATGAGAATTATAAATAAAGTTAATATCTTTGTCAACAGATGGGGAAAGATATGTTGGGTATGAAGCTCAATCTAGTTCAAACCTACAGTATATAACAGATTGAACTGGCAGTAATTCACATACTCATCTACAGCACTGCAATACTACCTGGTTTGTCAACTGCTTTAAAATCAAAACGGCTCCACCTGTTAAACATCTGCTCAAAGATTGTTGGTCACCCGGTCAGAGACGTTCTGACTCAGCAGACCATAATAACCTGTGAGGCTGTCCAACAACATCATCTGGGACCCAAAGCATGTTCTGAACAGAGAATATGAACTGCTACCATCTAATGGAGATCACTAAAGTGAGACTGAAGCATCCTTTGTGCTCCAGTCCATCCTCTCAGTAAACACAGTGCTGATCAGATGCACGCTGAAGGCTCTTTGAGCAGGTGTTCTCTCACTGATTGTGCTGTCATGTTCAATGTTTGTGTTGTGATATTTGTCTATGTTGATGTTACACATGGAGCTGCTGTGATGCAAGTCACATTTCAGACCTGATCTGACCATTGAAGTATTATCGTATGGTATCATCTGTAATGAGTAAGGAGCTGTCAGTATTATTTATTCAAAGGAGTGTTGATGGTCCTCCTACCTGGCTGCTCCATGGTCCAGGCTTCACACTTCATGGGGCTGCTGGGAGCCGACGGCACCCCGACGCCCGCCATGTTGGCAGCCTGAACCTTAAACTCGTAGAAAACTCCTTCAGTCAGACTGTCCACCTGAAGACACACAGACAGAGAGGTGGGAGGGGATTAGTACACTGACACCGACTTCTTATCCACCCCAAAAACATTATGCATGACATTAATGCATATCATGTGAACAACATCTCGTTCTGTTTTTGTCTTTCGTAATACTGTGAGCCACGTTCATGCTCAACTCTCTGACTGCATTTTGCACACATGTCTGCACAGCCCTCCACTTTAAAATAGAATACACTGTAGTTTGCCATATATTGTCATATACTCATTGTCCTAAGTGTTTTAGTTTAGTTTGTAATTGTGTTATAGTTGTTGGTGACTCACGGTGCAGATCCTCTCCTTCACAGCGGACACGTTGACCTCCTTCCACACCAGCGTGTCAGCGTTCCTCTTGTCGATGTAGTAGGCGTTGACCTTGGAGCCTCCGCAGTGTTTGGGGCTCTTCCAGACCAAAGTCATGGAGGAGCCGTCGCAGCTCAGCATGCTGATCCCAGAGGCGGAGCGGGGGTCGCCTGGAGCACAGAATACATCATGTTCAATGTGAGAGATTAGAGTTAATTAGACACATCATACAGCGTTTTAGATTGTGTTTTAATGAGAAATACACCTGTGGTTCAGTTAGCGGTGCGCTATGTGGACACACCAGAGAGGAAGAAATACTCAGATCCTTTTTCCCTCAATAAATGCAGAAGTACTATGGTCTTAAAATACTATATATATAAATATGTGTGTGGGTGTAAAGGCGTGTATGTTGACTACAAGTATGCAGAATGGCTCGTTTTCACACTTTATTTTTCTGTTTTTATCCTTAACGATTACATTTAAGAGCATTTAAAGTTTGTAGTTTGTCAAAGTTGAGCCAAGAGTGTTTTAAAATACTGCTTAGTTAGATTATTATAGAACTATTTTTCATTTTGTATTACTTTTACTATCTGTATTATTATTATGTTGCATTGTTGGAGAAGCCTGTGACATAAGATTTTCAACGACATAATTACTCTGTAGCTATGTTAGCTTGACAATAAAGAACCTTGAACCTTGAGGTTCCTAAAAAATGAAGTGGAGTAGAAAGTATATGCTGGATAAAACGTGAAAAGGAAAGTACAAGTACGTCAAAACAGTACAATATCTGAGTAAATGTACTGTAACATTGGGGGGGGAAAAAACCCATGTAGAAGACATTTATTAGCACCTACTGTAAATAAGTGTTTATTTTACGTGATTCTTCTGGCACCAAGCAGTGAATTTAGTGATAAATAAATGTGCAGTTCTGTGATTAAAGCACATGATGCAAAGTGGCAGCAGTGGGTAAGTCAGGTGGGAGAAAATCATCTATTTCATACATACCATAATCCACCCCTTTGCCTGGATAGAATAATGAAATACACTTTAAACACGTCTGTCTCTGACACTTTGGTGAACCTCACATACATTACCGTACATTCAGCTGATGCTTGGACCAATCATTAACAATGATCAGCTTTGCTCACGTTTTAAATGACTTTTTCAGACAGATTTTTAGAGATGGCAAAAGTACACACATCTTTTACTCAAGTAGAAGTACAGATACTCGTGTTTAAAAATACTTTGGTAAAAGTAGAAGTACTGACTAAACTTCTTTACTCAAGTAAAAGTAAAGAGGGCTTTGAATGTACTTCAGTAAAAAGTACCCATAACTAGCAGCTGTTTTAAAGAGTACCTGACCTCCCTTTATATTAATAGAACAATAATGTCATTGTTAGCTAATGAATGTTTCCATGCTGAACAACGGCAACATGACAACGTTTTCATTGGTCCCTCTTCTTTAGAGAAGACCAGGAAATGATGGATACACGGATCGTGTTCAAATCAATAGGCACGCAATGACTCTAAATAATAATGATCACGCCACCAAACACACATTCAAACTAAAGGAACCAGCCTGTTTGGAAAATGAGAGAAGTAGAAAGTACAGGTATTTGTGTTCAACATGTAAGAAGTAGAAAGTACAGGTATTTGGGTTCAACATGTAAGAAGTAGAAAGTACAGTATTTGTGTTCAAAATGTAGAGAGTAGAAAGTACAGGTATTTGTGGTTCAACATGTAAGAAAGTAGAAAGTACAGGTATTTGGGTTCAAACATGTAAGAAGTAGAAAGTACAGGTATTTGTGTTCAACATGTAAGAAGTAGAAAGTACAGGTATTTGTGTTCAACATGTAAGAAGTGAGAAAGTTCAAAATGTAAGAAGTAGAAGTACAGGTATTTGGGTTCAACATGTAAGAAGTAGAAAGTACAGGTATTTGTGTTCAACATGTAAGAAGTATAAAGTACAGGTATTTGTGTTCAAAATGTAAGAAGTAGAAAGTACAGGTATTTGTGTTCAAAATGTAAGAAGTCAAAGTAAAAAGTCGTCAGTAAAATAAGTAGTGGAGTAAAGTACTGATACCAGAAAGATGTATTTAAGTACAGTAACGAAGTATTTGTACTCCACTACTTCCCACTTCTGCAGATTTTATTATCGATAAATGATAAATGGATTTACCGAGTGCCGGCTCCACAGCGATGACCGTGGACTCCTGGGATTCTTCACTGAGGCCGAACACGTTCACGGCCTGGACTCTGAAGGTGTAGCTCTCACCAGGGATCAGGGCGTGGACCACAAACCTGACACACACACACACACACACACACACACACACACACACACACACACACACACACACACACACACACACACACACACACACACACACACACACACACACACACACACACACACACACACACACACACACACACACACACACACACACACACACACACACACACACACACACACACACACACACACACACACACACACACACACACACACACACACACACACACACACACACACACACACACACACACCACACACACACACACACACACATTGAAATTACACACAATTAAAACTGTTGCTCTGATGATCTCTGGTGCATAAAGGCGCTGAAAACGTTGCTCTTGTGTCAGTGTGGGATGTCTCTTAATGTAGATATTGTAATTTATAGCTTTAAGACTTAAAATAAATGGCAGAACTTTACGGATTAGAGACAGAGCGGCAGCCAGGATGCGTCATTTTGTTATAATGTTGTTTAGAAGTGATCATGTTTGCTCCAAATTTAGGAAACGTAAAAAAACTATCTCGTCGAGTTAAAACGTTTTTTTTGTACTAGACTCTCCAAAAGTGATTTAGCAGGATTAATTAAGCCTTTACAGGTATGATATACTAAATATATTAGAGCACTTTGACATTTAATATTGACTCAAGAAGGAGGTATTGGCTTGTACAAAATGTGGAAATGATCATTTATGTCAAAAATGCACCCTTTTAATGAAGACCTTAAATATACTGTGACCTTTGCTTAACCCTCTGAGTTGCAAGAACAGAAAAGCCCTTACACTGATTTAATTAACCATAAAATCCCTGAAGTATTAGATTAAAGCAGGGCTATTAATCCCTTGATTCAGAGTCAGCGTACCCATGTGAGATGAACATGGACTTGTAGCAATTATTTTTTACTTTATTATTTTCTTTCGTATGTATATGTGAAACATGTGTATTGTATAATATAATTTAGTTTATCTGTGTGCGTATTTCATTACTGATTTATCTTTTTTTCTTTATCCTGCAACTGGACTGAGACTAACTAATAAATATGAAGGAAAGGACGTTATGATAGAAACATAGTGGTTCAAAACTCCTGACTTAGTTTCCTGTTTACATTTTAATATAAACGTCCAAAGATCTCCTAAAATCCTCCCTGACTTCTTCAAGATTCAAGATTCAAGGCGTTATCGGTCATTTGCACATTAGCTACAGTGGATATGGCAATGACACACTGAGGTCCCAGGGCTCCTCTAACCGAGCAACATGAATATATATAGGACATAGAACAAATACAACAGATAAAATAGGGCAAGAGAATGTTTTGAGATGTGCAAGAATAGTTTATATACAAGTAAACTGAATGATATATTAGACAAATAATTTGCAAAATGCAAACAGATGAATGTTTGCATTTTTTCCCAAAGATATTGAAGTGACTGTTATATTGATTGTTGTGCCTTTATTTAGGTCTTAATGTGTGCATATGTATAAATGTGTCTATGTGATTGTGTTCATATAGGTATATACATATTTGGGTAACACTTTACAATAAGACTACCCTTCATTCAGATTCATAAGAGGGTTTATTAAATTAGGTTATTAATTAGGTTGTAAACACTTTATTAATCATTAAGAAGCATTTATAAACCAGTTCTAACATAGTTTTCATACATCAACACAGGCTCACTAATTTGGCAAGATGACTAAGACTTATATTGGCTACTTCAACTCAGTGAGCAACAGATACCAAGGATGCTAGCTGATGAAGGAGACGAAGTAAGCTAAGTAGCCAATATAAGACTTAGCAGTACAGATAAATGTGGGCTCACTATTTGGCAAGAATGACTAGCCTTATATTGGCTACTTAGCGAGAATCAACTCAACAGATACCAAGGATGCTAGCTGATGAAGAAGACGAAGTAAGCTAGGTAGCCAATATAAGACTTAGCAGTACAGATAAATGTGGGCTCACTATTTGGCAAGCAACCGGTCACAGTTGCCCTGTTTATTCTCATGTCTTATAAAAGCTTATTAATGATTTATGAAGTGTTCACAACCTAATTAATAAATGAATTACAAACTATTCGTAAACCCTTTATAAGGGTAGTCTTATTGTAAAGTGGTACCCATATTTGTATACATATTTTTGTATATATTTGTTTTTGTATTCAGGATTGTGGGAAACGATATTTCGCTCTCTCTGTCTGTACACAAACTGAAAGATTGACAATAAAGTTGACTTTGACGTTGTTTATGGATGTTATTTAAAATGTTCAGGTGTTTAATAGTCTTATGGCCTGACCTGCAGTGTTTGAAGGGCTTGTGGTTGCAGGGGAACCACTCCTTGGATCCCACGATGCGTCCGTCGATGTAATATCCCATCAGGTTCTTCAGCTGTTTGGGAGATTCCCACTGAACGAACACGGAGGACTTGGAGTTCCTGCTGGCCACGACCTGACCGGGAGTCGAGGGCACGCCTGCACCGGGAGAGAAGAAGTTAGTATTTACTTCCAGCGAGCATTTGAAATTAGCTGAGGGAGAAACAGCCCAAGAAGACGAAACAATAGATACAAATAGTTTGATTGATGCTGCAATATGCATTTATAATGGATCAAACATGTACAATTCTCTACACAATACGTATTAAAACAAATAAAATACATTTAATTACATTACAACTGTTACTTATCAAGACGCTTTACCCAAAGTGACTTTCATACAAAGAGTCTAATTTCAAAATTCAACACAAGATAAGAATAATAATTGTTTAGTTGCAGCAGCTTAAAACAAAACAAGGCATTGCACATAATAACACATTAAAAGAGTAGAAATAAACAATTCTAAAAAAAGAAACATCTCAAAATAGAAATAGAAATAATCCAGCATTAGAGAGTAAGAAAAATATACAGATGGCCGTGAAGATAAAACATCCATAAACTGTCTGACAAATAAAAAACTTTATTGAAGGGAAGAAAAACCCCACTATTGAAAGTATCATCTAAGTCAGGGGGTCTGCAACCCGCGGCTCTTCAAGCCCTCTGCTCTGGCTCCCTTGAGCTTAGACACAATAAGAAGGGAAATAAAATAAAAATATTTGTAGGACTATTTATATTTTGTTGCACGGTTGAAAAGGTTTCGTATCTTGTATTTTGAGGTGATACTGTGACACGTAAAATAAACGGTTTTAATTAGGTAACTAAAATATGCGTCGCATCCTGCTACGGTCTACCAGCGCCTTTTCTTACAGGCGAATAACCTGACCCCCGGCTCGATGAGCGTTTTTGTCTATGATGTAACAATAAATACAACTTTATAAGCTATCAAGCTTTCAAATATGTTTTGCGGCTCCAGACAAAAAACATGTGTGGAAAAGGGGGCAAAATGGCTCTTTTGGTCAAAAAGGTTGCAGTCCCCTGAACTAAGTGATTAAAATCCAGGAACCTCTATATGCAGCTATGTATCCATAAAATAAGGAAGCTTGATTTACCACATCATGTTGAAAGCTCAGCGTTCATCCACAGGAATGTATTACCTGACTTTGTCCAAACACTTCTCCATTCTCGATGCAATACACCTTTATCCATCCATATGACTTTTCACAAAACAGATATACTTATCCATTGGCCATCAAACTCTATATCTCCTCACCCTTCAGTAAAGAGAACTATACTTATATAAATACCATTACCATCATTACTAAAACACTCTGCTATATAACATGTGCAATATTAATAATAATGTTCAATAGTAACGTGCAATTACGTATCTGACACTTTTTTTGCACTACTCAATACTGCTTGTCACTGTACAGTTTTTTTATAGTTTTTTATATAAATTATTTGACTGTCTATGTTTCTTATAGTTGTTTCATTATCTCTTTTTACTGCACTGTTAGTGTACAGTTCGTACGCTGCTGTGTTTATTGTATCTTTGTAACTCTGGCACAACAATTTCCTTCGGGATAAAAACAGTCCTATCTTATCTTATCTTATCGGTGCTGTATTCATATCTAAATACCATTTACTGTGGATCTGATCCAAACATACTTCAGGTTACAAAATGACTGCCACTTGTTAAACATGCAATACGCTGGAAGTAAACGCTCGTGGTGTGAGCATGCACTGTGCCTGTAGATTGTGTGGATAAACAGAGTGAGGTTTAGTCTGTGAAGCTCAGTTTAACACAGGAATGGAAAGAAAGAATCGATGTGAATATAAGGAGATTTTCATTTTGTCACTGTGAGGTTTAGCTGTGCCTCGTCTTAGAATTCAAGAACACAAAATTGAACCTTTTGACACTTAAAGGGGACCTATCATGCAAAATGCACTTTTTGATGTCTTTTATACATAAAGATGTGTCCCCGGTGTGGCGGGGAACTCACGCAGCATCAGAAAATAAAACCCTCTCTCTTTTCCTCCGTACCCAAATCTCTAAAAAACGGGGCTACAAACGGTGCTGATCCAGATTTGTGTCCGATATGACGTAATATCTGAAATGTGGACCCACGGCCCTATCAGAAACGTTGCTATCAGAAACAATGCCCGACTGTTTTGGACGTAATATGGTCGGTGTTTACATTAGCATGGCTAACACTCAGAGCTAACCTGTACTGGAGAGCATGTGTGTGAAGAAGCAGGAAATAAAAAGGAACTCACCTTGTGGTATAACCGGCAAGAGAGAAAGCCTTTGAGCTCCATACTGTTTCAGAAATAATCCTTGATAATCCATGATATGGCGTTTCATCACGGCAGTATTTAGTTTAGACAGTAGCTGCCGGGTCCCGCATGAGCTCAGCCCCCTCCTTTTTAAAGCTTCATACCCCAAATCAGCACTTTGAAACAGGAAGTGAAATAGAGGGATATGAGGCATGGCTAGAATGGCTGATCTGTTTGGTATTTTGAGCAAAACACTTCATAGACATGTTTTTTATATATTTGTATATATCTGAGACCTATGCTATTGCCTAAAAATAGCATGATAGGTCCACTTTAAATTGGACTTTGGTGCAACACATATGTATATAAATAAATATATATACAAGAGCATGCTTTCTTATTACATTTAAAGTACTATATATTTGGCAAAACTATTTGTGCAGGGATACTAGCTGACAACAATGGACCTTGACTACACAAAATGGTCTGGATTCAACAGAGAAATACACTGTTTCTTAGTTTAAATATGCCACATTACAAATAACTGTACACACACATTATATTTACTGTGTGCTCTGCCTTTAACTGAGGGTTACACATCACACACACAGTGAAGAGGGAACTACTTTGTGAAGTGACGGCAGCATCAAACAGTGAAGGTGTTCTCATTAAACTGTACGTACCAACCCGCACCTCAACACCTGGAACAAAAAATCACTTTCAACATAAAAAACAATCTGAGGATTTCATTCATTCCTGTTTGCAGATACTCGCATAATATTATTTACATTTAATATGTTTGCACAAATACTAAAAACACACTTAAGGAAGCATTTACATCTTGGAGAGTACGACTGTAAATGATCGCTGAGACCGGAAGAAGCATGAATACAAACGGATTTTCTACAAATGAATGACCAACATTATGTATTATATAAGCACTATTATACAATTAGGGAGTGTACCATTCATTCTGTTGAGTATGTATACAACTTTGGACTTATTGGCAGCCTAAATAAATAATAATGTAGTAGCTAACACATGACCAATGTGAACCGTAATCAATGTGTAGTTTTTACAACTCTTTAATAAAAGTTATATATTTGCTCCACATCTGTATTCATTAAAGCAAATCCTTGCATACCTGCAACTACCTGATTTTGTTTGATGATTGCGTATCTTACTTTGCCATATGACAGTTTCCAAATGTAATCGCATTTTTATAATTTGCAATATTTGACTTGCATTCATTTGTTCTCAATTTTCACACCTTTATTCCTCTTCCTGTGTTCATGTAAGCACATTTATACACTTGTTTTGAGTGTTTTTCTGAGTGTATTGCATGTATATATATTACATTACATTACATGTTACTTGTTAGACGCTTTTATCCAAAGCGACTTACATACTCAATACTGTGGGCAATCCCCACAGGAGCAATTTGGGGTGAAGTGTCCTCAGGGACACAACGACATGCTGACTGCAGTGGGGTTTGAACCTGTGACCCCCTGATCCCAACACCAACGCACAACCCACTGCGCCACACACCTCCTAAATATATACATATGAAAGTGTGTCTGGATGTAGTTGTGTTGCTCCCAGCCCTGAACATCCTGCATTAAAGCCAAACCTTGTATTTTAATTCTGATTCTGATTGATATTTATTTGTATTGTACTGCATATATATATATGTTTGACAGTGTGTCTGGATGTGGTTGCATTTTTATTATATTCATTTATTCTAAACTGTTTTACAACTCTTTTAATAAAAGTTATATCTTTGCTCCACATCTGTATTCCTTGTACTGTGTTTATGTATACACCATTAGGCATTAAAGCAAATCCTTGTATATCTTTGCAGTGTATATACATATGAAAGTGTGTCTGGATGTAATTGCGTTGCTCTGAGCCCTTACCTGCATTAAAGCCAATCCTTGTATATCTTTGCAGTATATATATACATATGAAAGTGTGTCTGGATGTAATTGCGTTGCTCTGAGCCCTTACCTGCATTAAAGCCAATCCTTGTATTTTAATTCTGATGATATACGAGTGTATTGTACTTTGCATGTATGACAGTGTGTCTGGATGTAGTTGCGTTGCTCCGGCCCTTATACTGTCCTGCATTAAAGTTGGATATTTATTTGTATTGTACTTGGCAGTATATATATATATATATATATATATAACGTTATGGCGTTGATGTTTAAAGCCCGAACAGACTGGAATACTTGACCTGCTACTATTAGATCCCTGTCATCATTGGGTTTGTTTAAGCATGATCATCTCACATTCAGCTGCTCTGCTCTTGATGAAACTGATCTATCAGTAACTACTGTCTATCAAATTGTAATGATTGTATGTATTACTTCATGAGTTTTACTTAACAGACTGTACGTGGTTTGTCCTCGTTTGTCATGCTTAGCTTTCTGTTATTTTGTTCATGTATGTCTGTAAGACGTTTGCTTTTGTCGGGACTCACTTGAAAACGAGACGGTGCATCTCAAGGGGTTTATCCTAATAAATAAGTTTCTATATATAACAGTATGTAATGTATTTGCGTTGCTCCGGCTCCTTACCGTCCTCATCCTGCCTCTGGACGGGCTCGGAGGAAAACGACGCCTCGCTGCAGCCGTACAGGTTCACTGAAAACACTCTGAACTGGTACTTTTGTCCGTCTTGCAAATCAAAAACCGGGTAACGGGGGGAGTGCAGTTTGACCGCCGTGTTGATCCGCTGCCATGCTCCAGTGCCCGCTATGCACTGAGGAAGAGGAGGAGGAGGAGGAAGAGGAGGAGGAGGAGGATGATGATGATGATGAT